GCTCAGTAGTTTGGTGCCTGCCTCCTGGGTCCTAGGAAAGAGTCCCACATCGGGCTCCTTGCATGGAGCCTGCTTTTCCCTCTCCCTGTGTCTCTGCCTCTCTCTCTCTGTCTCTCATGAATAGATAAAATCTTAAAAAAAAAAAAAAGATTCTTAGTACAATCTACCCCCCATACGGGGCTTGAACTCACAACCCCAAGATCAAGAGTCCCATGCTCTACCAACTAAGCCAGCCAGATGCCCTGAAGCAGGTGATTAAATCGCAAGGAGTATCCTAGTAGCTTAATAGAGCCAAAAAAGTATACCAAAGATATCAATATAACTAAAATGCACCATGAACTTAATATTGACACTAAAACAACTTTTAAGGTGGACAAATAATTTTATTTTGTGCATGCAAATACATGTCAAGTACTGCAAACTTTTTCCATCAATTTTCTCTCAAACACTGAAAATCATGATGCTCTATTCTGTGAACAGCCAAAGCTAATATCTCTTCACTTCAGTGCTACAGCAAAAACACACAGAATTCACTCTTTGCTATTCACTATCATCACAACCCTCATTGTTCCATCTCTGCCCTCCCCCCATATACAGGCCTTATAAATCCTAGCCTTCCCCCATTTAACCCTATTCCTATAGCACAAAGGGAAACATTACAATTTGGAAATTCAAATTGAAATAAATGGAATAGAATTTATTCCCATATATATTCCCCATTTCATTGTACAGAATTATTTTAAATTATAGTTTTAAATAGAAGCTGAGTATATGCCTTAAAAATGAGCATTAAATCCATCTTAGAGATGGTGCCTGCTTTTTACATGATGGGTGTACACCATCTTTAATTTCATTTACATTTCAATCGAACAATAGATTTGCAAAGAAAATGTCTAATACAGACGTAAAAATATTCACACTAGAGCTTCACAATCGGTTGTACAATTGACAAACAGGCCTCTTTTCCCAAACTTTCCAGCTAAGCAAATTTATAAAATGTAATCAATGCAACAAGAAAAACATCTCTCTTTCACTTCCAGGGAAAAGAATATGCAATAAACAGTATAAATGCAGACAGCAGTTGCTGCAAGCTAACCACGATACTCCCAAGTGGCTGTACAGTGGATATGTGCAGTACAAATAAAAGCCACATGTGTTGTATCACAACTACAGTATAATTGTTTGCCCAGCTAAGAGAATGCATGCACTTCCATGCCTTGGGTTATAAAGTGAGGCCTAATTCTCGACAGATAGATGGAATATATGCAAATGACCTTGGCTTTTGGCAGTACTAAGTGCAGCCAGTGTCTATGTTCCACTGGTTTGAGGATATTTTTAAATTTTTATTTAAAAAAAGAAAAAAATGCCAGTTTTGGAATTGGGGGAATAACTGCTCTTGGAGTAGAAATAAGACTCCACTCAAATGTGGGGTGTTCTGATCAGTGGCCTTGACTCCCTGTATTCCCTTGCCAGCAAAGGGATACAAAGAAACTGCTAGTATAAAGGAGTAACTAGCAAATGTTTTCAATTTATCCAGAAAATGGGATACTCCTGGAGCATGTTCATTTGTGTTCTGCTTGCAGAAGGGGTTCTTGTGAAGGAGTTACAGTAAGTGATCCCATCGACACTCTTCATTCACTAAAACACAAGAAAAGTTCTTCCAGGAAACTAATACATAGTTGCAATGCAACCTTTCCCTTTAACTACTCAGTTACCAATACTGGTGACAGTCTGCTCAGAAGACTACATGAAGAAGGTAGGGAAGAAATATTCAGATTCAAAGTTGATATCACATACTGAATCTGATCATTACAATTCCACCCCTATCAATGAGACAACATGGGCTTTAACATCGAAAATGCAAGTTAGCTAGATGGGTTTTAAAACAATGTTTTCAAATGTTTAAATGATCCCATTTTAAATTCCTAGAGTATGCTGTGAATCCTATAATTTTCTCAAGGCAGCATATAAAATTGGGATGTGCTTTATATACTTAGAATCAACTCGAAATTTGAGTGAAAATTACTAGATCCATATAAATGGTATATTTCAGTTCTCGTACAGAAGGGGAGGTTTCTCTTACTATTGTCTTGTGAGAGTAAATTACTAGGAAAAAAAAAAAATCAGTGCCACCGACCCAGTGAAGCACTACCTTCTCTTGAAAACTATGATGCACCAACTCCATGCATGACACTGGCTTACCAAACGCTACTGAAAGGAAGTCATGGCAGGAAAGGCAAGGGAATCTGCTCTGCTCAGGTAAGATGGAATACATACATCACTTTCTCAGGTTTTAGAAAATGTACTGACGCTAACAAAGGAAAACTACTGAGGCTCTATTCACAGAATCTGAACAAGGCATACAGCCTTCAGAGTGGGATTTAGAAATGGAAAAACAAAACCACAAAAAGTAAAACAAACGCCCTACCATTTTCCCACTTTCCAGACATTAGATGACTTTTTCATAATTACACCACAGGCACCATATGCAGTTTAATTACCAACATCACACCTTTCCTCTCCTATTGTCTTTTGTACTGATTTCAAACATACATACATCACATGTTGGTAAAAGGGTCAAATGATGGGGAATGTACCCAATTTTAAAAAGTCACATCCTCGATCTGATTTATAATTTTTTTCCTCCATGACATCAGGGAGTTAACTTTCTGAAGAAGGATCAGAAAAACTGCTCTTTCTTCTGAAGTGGCAGAGAACCAATGTCTTTCCTTCACATGAAACCCACCAAGAGAAACAGAAGATGGTCACTACACATGAAGGATGCAATACAGAAAAATCCCAACACAAAAACAATTCCTATGTTGTTAGTGAGAACAAGAGTAAGTTTTTAAGAACAGGGAGTTATTGTTTTATGGGATCACCTGCTGCAAGACAAGCATTATTTTAATATAAATGTTCTGAGACATACCAGTAAGGTTGGCAGGTATATACATACACTGATGCAAATGTAATTTCACTGGACAAGTAGGCAAACACCTAAGCAGTTTATCCCAAACCCCTCCAGCAGAGCACAACCAAGTTTCAAAATTTCAGTTTTAAAATTAAAAAGATAAGGTTAAATACACAAGATCAATTTATGTAGTATATATTCACCCTCAGAACGTGCTGAAGATGTTTTGCGTAGTTCTGTTGCACAGAGGGTTCTTTCCCTGAGGGCACATAAGGAGCTCTCAAACTGTTAATAGGTCTCTATTTTGTAACAAAATAGTAATTTTAAAATCTTAAAAAAAAATACATTACCTTCAACATGGAAGATCTCACTATTTAAATATCCATGAAATAGACATACTAGTTTGCATACCCTTTTTTGGAAATACAAACAGTAAATAAAGTACATTGGAAGCATTTTAAATGTAATAAGCACATATTTATAGAAGGGTTCTGATATAAATTATATAACGATCATGTTCCTGTAATATCCTAGGCTAATTTATAATGTCAGAAATAAGTTAATGTAACATGGTTTAAAACTCTTGTTCCTATTCATTTCAGGTTACAGAATGAAATAAATAAAATGTCTTTGTAGGGATAGGGAGCACTGGCCATGGCATAAAGGTACAGTACTAACCCAAGGAAACAAAGTCAAAGCTACTGTGCTGTTATGCTACAAACATCTTCATACATTTGAATATTAAATAAATGTGTAAGATCTTCCATACTGACACCAGAATATCAAAACTACCCCCTTTGTTTCTCAGGTATATTTACAACTTATCAGTCACCTTATGAGCATGTTCATTAAGACAGGTATCAAACACCAGTATTTACTCATTCTGATCAAGAAATTTCAGGGAAATGTCAACCCTCCCACCCCTGGAAATGTGCACAAAACTTTTTATCAAAATCTTATCTGATACAATGCTGTGGTTTTGTAAAACAACTAAATAGCTCAGACGACCAATAACATGATCCTGTTTAAGCATCTTGCTAGCAGGAAAAGCCCTTACATACAGTACACCTGGTGAAAGATCAGCTTGGCTTAAAATATTCCAGTACAATTTTCAGAGTAAACAACTTCACAGAAGTTAATTAAAAAAATAATAATAAAAGTCAAACTAATCTCAAAGAAACCGAGGGAAAACAAAGAGACAAACTATAGGTAAGATCACCAGGAAGGAATGCCCAGCTTTTGTTTCCAAATGTTGACTGAAATTTAGGTTTCAGTAAAATACCTCCCACAAATCTGGGGCATGGATGGTTGAACATACTTGCATACTTCCAGATGCCAGGTCCACTTTTCAGTCACATTTAGCAGGGCAGAAATTATTTGTGTTTTTAAGTATGAATAAAGGTTAGCCAATGTCCTATTATTACATGGTTCATAGTCTTATCAACCTAACAGTCAGAAAACAAGGAAAATTAAACCCCAACGTGAAGTAACAACAAACAATATTTAACCAAGATATTGCAATGAACATCCAAATTAATTAGTTAAAAAAAAAAAGAAAACACAACCCAGCAATACCATCTTGTTAGTCAGTGCAAACACTACATACAGGGTTTTCTCAAGAAAGCTGAAAGCACCTGATTCTTTTGCCAAGTCATCAGATTCAATAACGTACAGGCTTAAATCTGCATTTTAAAAAACTGCCATTACATTAGTGCATAATTTATCAAAATTTTAAAAACGATTCTGCATAACTTAGGAGAATTTAATATCTAGTACATCAGCTGAAAGACTTAGGCACTTGGTTATATATTTAATTACTTACTTCAACAAGTAGCCTGTGTATAAATATTAACAAAGCAGAAACTATTCTTGAAAAATGGAAAACTAAAAAAATTTCAATGCTACAGATAAAAGCACTGCACCACACTCCTACATATAATGCAGTAAAGAAAGCTAGTATATAACCCTGTAAAATTCTATGGTAAGAACGTCTAACTCCACTCTTCAAAGTAAAAAAAAAAAAAAAAAAAAAAAAAAAAAAGAAAGAAAGAAAAAGGAAAAAAAAAAGAAAAAAAGGGAAAAGAAAGAAAAATTTTAAAAAATTCATGCAAAGTCCCATGAAAAAGATAAATAAAGCAGCTGGAATGAGATGGAAATTTCTCTCAGCAAAACATAAAAATAGAAATAAATAAGTTAATTAAAGTCTACTTTCACTAGATGTATCATTGTAGGATCCTGCTAGTTTAATAACTGAGTTGTTAATTTTCTATAGAAGCCATTTAAAATAGGAAATGGCTCAGTTACTGCACCGGATTGCTACAAACTCATAAAAAGCTGCTTGAAGCTTAAGTTAAATGTCCAAATTCCAATCACCTCTGGAAAGTGAACGTGTTACCCTAGTAAAGTAAATTTTCTTTTTTTTCATAATGCTAATGCAAGAGGGCTTGAAGTATCAAAGAGTCCACAGGAAATGGATGCCCCCAGTAATATCTTTTTTAAAAAAAATATACATTATATAATATATATTATATATATAAAAAGCTAGTGTAAATGCTTCCATGGTATGGTCACAAATTTGAAGGATGAACCTCCTTTCAGCTGTTAACCATCTTCCCATTTGCAACAGGTTTTAAAAAGTCGTTTTTATCTTCAGACATAACATGAGTTTTCAGAATGAGGTTGCCAACACTGACGGATGTGGTGATGGGGAGACAACTTGCATTGCCAATGGACACTGGGAGTGGCTGGCTAAAGCAAGAAGTTACCGGCAGAATTGTTTTTTGCTCCTCCCTGGGAGAAAATAAATGACGTTGAAAACAAATTAGCTTTAAGTGAAAACTTTAAAGAATAACCATACACGCTTAATTAATACAAGTCGTAACAAACCTGAAGAGCCCCTCACAAAGACGTCTTTATCACTAAAAAGTATCAGCGTTCACTAAAAAAAAGTCCCATTTTCCAAAAATATTTAAAAAATTAAAATATTGATTAAGGCCAACAAATTATCAAGTTCAAGCCTAACCGATATTTTTGACAGTAATTATATAAAATGGCAATATTAAATCCAAGAATACCTTAATATGATTTTTAAAAAGGGAAACCCTACATCTCGTCTTAATTCTCCATTGTGCCATCTAGAAGTCAGCCTACCAGACTGAGGAAGTATAACTTGATGCTGGAGCATGAGGACAAACTTTTATCCCAACAAAAAGCAAGTTTCAGGCAACTTAAATGGGCTACTCTGTTCGTTCAAATTTCCCTCTTCTCTCCTACAAATCCAGACTGACCTAATCATTGTCCTATTACACAGGGTCTTCCCCTCACAGAATAAAGCCAAAAACGCACTGAACACTGCATCTATTTCTCTTTAAATATTCACAGCCTATGTCCACTGGTTAGGAATTATCTGTCTAACACTCACAGAATCACATGGTCTTCACCTAAACTCTGTCTCTTCTGCTCCAGCGGCTCCTTTTGGTGCTGCTGGACTGGGTGCCCATTTTCCACTGCTGTTCCATTCAGCAACTGATCATTTTGAGAACTGATACCAAGCTGTATGTCCAGGATCTCCTACGAAAATAAAATGTTGATCTTTCACTATGAAAGTATTTTATACTTTAATTTCCAATGGAAGAAAGCCTCCTAAATATCTAATTGTGGTACTTACTTCAATTTGTTCCCCTTGTCCATCAGGTTCATCAGTATCAAGTGCTGAAAGCTCTAACTCAATATCCCTATCAGGCTTAGTATCGCTTGCATCTTCTGTGTAATCACTCTGTAATTAAGAAAAATGCTAATTTATACCTGTGGAAGCTGGGGCTTCCCTTTTATTTTTTTTTTTATTTTTTATTTTTTTAATGATAGTCACAGAGAGAGAGAGACAGGCAGAGACACAGGCAGAGGGAGAAGCAGGCTCCATGCACCGGGAGCCCGACGTGGGATTCGATCCCGGGTCTCCATGATCGCGCCGTGGGCCAAAGGCAGGTACCAAACCGCTGCGCCACCCAGGGATCCCTGGGGCTTCCCTTTTAGATGAAACCGGGAAGCCCAAAGATTGAAATAATTATATAAGAAATCTGGTACTACAATGTTATTTCTATCCTGAGGTTTTAATTTTTTTTAATTTTCTTTATTTTTATTTATTTATTCATGACAGACACAGAGAAACAGAGAGAGGCAAAGACAGGGGCAGAGGGATAAGCAGGCTCCATGCAGGGAGCCCAATGCAGGACTCGATCCCGGGTCTCTAGGACCATACCCCAGGCCAAAGGCGAGGCCAAACTGCTGGGCCATCAGGGCTGCCCTCTATCCTAAGTTTTAAAAGCAATCATCCACTAGAAAAAGGCACACTTACATGCACTAAGTAGTGGCATAAACCAACATAATCGCAAACATCAAATGCATTAAGCATGAAGCTGGGAGGTTGTTTCTTTACCTCTCCATTTCTCAGTTCAATTTCTTTGCTTAGAAGATTTAAGGAAAGGTGACGGCCTTCATCCAGGGAATTCCACTTCTGCTGCATGGCCAGAGCATTGGCCTCCCTTTGAAGAAGCAATGAGTTACTCTTGGCCTATAGGAAAAAGGAAAAAAAAAAAACAAAACAAAACGAAAGTTAGCTTCCAACCACAGCTTCAACTGCCATTTTATTTTGTAAGCTTTCAAAGCTGAGCAACAGAGTCTACCTGCTGAAGTTCAATGCTCAAAAGGTCTCCAGTACTGGAATGCTTTCGATGACCAGATATATCGGTAACAATGAATCTGTCCCTTTAAAGAGAAACAGGTTTACAGTTATAAAAGTGAAATTGATGAAGTAACTGAAGCATTAATGGCCACACACCATACATGTTTTCTGTAATGGATCAACCCTGTAAATTTCAGTCATCGTTCCAAAGGTAATTTTTTTTTTCAGAAATCTGTTATATAGCTAAAATCATCAAAACATACTTCACAAATAACAGGGGGGTAGGATCTATACTCTGAGGATACATACAAGTCTGAGAATAGAGTATCCAAGAGAATTAAGAGTAACATTACCGTTCAATATAGTGTGCTGATGATGTGGCCTCGTTACCATATGCACTCCACCTTGAATCAACAGCATTGACATAAGGAACATAATCTACAGACGTGCAGAAAAAATAATGATCAGAAAAGTGAAAAATCAGTATATAAATGTGAACATATACTTTTAAGAAAAGACCCTATCTTTATCCAATCAGCCATGCTCTCCTAGCTAAGCCATTTAATTCGGAGCTTCCTGTGATTGTTAAATGGAGGTAAATATTCTGTACTTCACAAAATGAGGATTAAAAAGCACAGTGTTAGGGATGCCTGGGTGGCTCAGCAGTTGAGGGTCTGCATTTGGCTCAGGGCATGATCCCAGGGTCTTGGGATTAAGTTCCGCATCGGGCTCCCCATGGGGAGTCTGCTTATCCCTCTGCCGATATCTCTGCCCTGTGCGTCTCTTGTGAATCAATAAATAAAATCTTAAAAAAAAAAAAAAAAAAAAGCAGACAGTGGTAGGACATATCAGATGAGGTATTAGTAAGCAGAATTACCTGATACACTGATAGGCTTAGTGGCACTTCCTTGGGAAGCAGTGGCCTGGACAGGATCCGTGGTATGGTAACCTGTACGTGAAGATCTGGAAATTGCACCCCATTTTGAGATGATAGGTCCATCACTAAATGGAATTATTGGGTCTTCTTCTTTTGTCCTTCTCTGAGTTTCAAATAAATGCACTCTTCTCTTAACATCTCCACTGTCCAGGTCCTGCATAAACCAAAGAAAATCAATAAAGGGATTGTCAGCTATTACCTCAGCTAGTAATATACAGATAGATGCTTTCAAAAGACATGTAATTAAGTTTTCTGATAAATTTAACTCTATCTATAGATCTCAACGGTAACCCAACACCTAATCCAACATCTATTTTAAACTACTGAACTATGCTCAAATAATTTAAATTTTTTTTTATTGGAGTTCAATTTGCCAACATATAGCATAACAACCAGTGCTCATCCTGCCAAGTGCCCCCTCAGTGCCCATCACCCAGTCACCCCAACCCCCTGCCCACTTCCCCTTCCACTACCCCTTGTTTCCCAGAGTTAGGTGTCTCTCATGTTTTGTCACCCTCACTGATATGTTCACTCATTTTCTCTCCTTTCCCTTTATTCCCTTTCACTAATTTTTATATTCCTCAAATGAATGAGACCATATGTTTGTCCTTTTCCAATTGACTTATTTCACTCTATGCTCAAATAATTTAAACATCAAATGCAATTTATTTCAAACTTACTTAAATACAACTCTGCTGCCTTACAGAGGACTTATATAGCAACAGTGTGAAAATGAAAGCATTGAATCACTCTAAAACTTGAGTCAATATGCATGATATCCCCCTACCCCCCTAAATCATACCATTAATACAGCATTTGAATTAGCAATTACATCTCTGGGCTCTGAATCGATGGCATTTATACAAGAGCCTATGGTGCCACAAGACCAGGGAGAATAATGAGAAAGATGATCTTCTTCAAATTTTGTACCACTCACACTCTCAGAGAACTGATAAAAACAAAACAAAAAAATAGCAAAGCCAATTAGTACAAATCTTAAACTTACAAATTTGTAACTAATACAAAGTATTAGAATATACAGGACTTCATAGAGAACTAAATCTGTAACTAATACAAAGTATTAGAATATACAGGACTTCATAGAGAACAACTAAATCTTCAGTAATTAATAAAAAAAATTGTCATAAGTATTTTTTGGGTTTACATTACTATTTGGGTTTACATTATTAATAGAAAATTTATTTATTTATTTTTTTATGATAGTCACAGAGAGAGAGAGGCAGAGACACAGGCAGAGGGAGAAGCAGGCTCCATGCACCAGGAGCCCGACATGGGATTCGATCCCGGGTCTCCAGGATCCCGCCCTGGGCCAAAGGCAGGCGCTAAACCGCTGCGCCACCCAGGGATCCCTAGAAAATAGAATGATTTCTTTTTGTCCTTTCAAGTACTCATAAGAAACCTGATACTATCAAAACCAATCAATAAATACTTACAGCATGCCTCTAACATGAATGAGGTACTCCAAAAAAATAATAAAAAAAAAAAAAAACACATACAGACACCACAGTCGGTACTGAGGTTTATAATTCTCCTGAAAAAATACCAACATGTAAACATGGGAGTATAACTGATAAACCATGTAGGATTAAATTAAAAAAAAAAAAAGAACTCAAAAGCAGCTCTCTTGAACTAGAAGAAAAAAATTGGACAAATTTTAAAGGGACTGTGAAAATTATTACTGGATCAGAATATTAAAGTTTAATAATCATTAAATCTAGTTTAATGATTGTACAGATATAGAAAGCCAAGATCAAAAAGATTAAATTACTTAACCAAAGTCATATTACTAGCAAATGGCAGAACTGAGTGTCACGAAAAAAAAAATTTTTTTTTTTAAAGTAATCTCTATACCCAATGTGGGGCTTGAACTCATAACTCCAAGATCAAGAGTTGTATGCTCTATGCACTGAGCCAACCAGGTTCCCCAGGGAAATACTAATTTCTTAAAGCACAGAATGAAAAAAAAAAGTAAATGCATCTTTGTATCAAGCAAGCGGCAACTCTATTACTCTATTGTTAAGATATTTAGCTGCTTTGAAGAAGTCTAAGTTAAAAAAAATTTTTTTTTTAATTTAGTTGAGAGAATGAGTAGGGGGAAGGACAGAGGGAGAAGCTGACTCCCCACTGAGCAGGGAGCCCAAAGAGAGGATTGACCCCAGGACCCTGACATCATGATCTGAGCCAAAAGCCACCATTTAACCAACCAAGCCACCCAGGAGCCCTAAAGAAGTCTAAGTTTGATGAGAAATTTGGATTTAGTTAAAAAATTCAATGGTTTATTGAAATATTTATGGATAAAAAAATATGATGTCTAGGATTACTTCAAATTAATCCAGAGGGAAGAGAGGGTACAAATGAAACAAGACTGACTAAGTAGATAATTGGGGATGAGGGTACAGGGGGTTTATTATACTACCGGGTCTACTTTTGTATGTGTTTTAAATTTTTCATTACAAGATTTTAAAAAGTTTTTTTTCCTATTAGAGCCTGTAGGAATAGAAAATAAGCCAAGTTAGAGGTATTTAAAAAATAATAATGTTTTGTTCAACATATAAAAATACTGAAAAAGGGCACCCTGAAATGATCCTGGTAAAAAACTTGTTTTGTAACAAGAACAACCATTAACAGTGATGTAAAACTGCACAAATAAAACAGTAGGCATTTCTGCACCACTTGTAAAAAGTAGGGAAGAGATGCCTCTGCTAGACCAAGATTCAAATCTCAGTTACTTACAGGCTGAATTTACTTCTTGGGCAAATTACTTAATTTCTCTGAGTAGGATTCCTAAAAAAAATACAGACTTATTACCTGCCCCCTAAGATTTTTGTGAGAATTAAATAAAATAACATTATGTAAATACTTAGTACAGTGCCTGGCACAAGTAGGTGCTCAATAAATGGTAGATATAAATCTGATTAATTAAAATCAAAAAAACAATGAGAACTACACTGCTGGAAAGATTTTCAATTCTTGGTGGGAAAAAGACTGACTTCATGGTCTTCAGAGTCTCACAATGCCTAACTGTAGTGCTCATTACATGCTCAAGTGTTCAAAGAACAAAGCAGACTCGACTGTATACCAAATCACTGCAAAACAGCCCACATAGCTAAGCCTGGTTTGAAGGAGTGTTCTGAGGTCAGGTGTCTGACCTGTCCTTGCAACATCAAGTGATTAAGACCTTTCTTACATCAGTGCGAAAGTCTACACTGAATAGAGGAGAAGGTGGTGTTGGCGACTGTGTTGCCACAGGAAGAGTTGAAGAGACAAGAGGTGTTTTCTGAGTGTGGTACTGTGCCCACTGCTCTGGCTTTCTTCTTATCTGCTCCTCGCAACTGGTCTTCAAATGACCACAAGGTTCCTAAGGGGGGATAAAAGAAACAATCTTAATCATCTAGGGAGCAGTAAATAAATTTAACTATGCTCTGTGGAAATAATGTAAACAGTTCATCATTGTGGGGACAAAAAAAAAATACAGTAAAGAAGTCACCTTAGCCTGTTCTCCACGCATTTAAATGGAAGGGTTAATATTTCATCCAGCGATGTTAAAAGTAGTATCTGAGCACTCAGTTTTCTGGTTTAGGGAAGTCATTTCTATATACATGGAATACTGAAAATAGGCCCTGTCTTTGTATTTTGGAGATTTCTTTTTACTTTCCCATCAGTTTCCTATCCAAGCATTAACATTTATTGAGCATTAATATGTATCAGGTCCAGTTCTAAAGGCTTTGTTTTTCTAATTTAATCCTCACAACAGCCTTATGAGGTAGGTACTACTAATTACTGCCATTAAACATGAAAAACCTGACACAGAGAAGTCAAGTAACTTCTGTAAGTCACACAATTCATAAGTGGAGGAGCCAGAAACCTATACCTGGGTGGTACGACAAGTTTGACAGCAGGCTCTTACCCACTATACTACTGTAGCACTCTCCTATTTCCACCATTACTTACCCTTGGTAAAGGCACACTTGTCCTTGGCTCACTTGGTGGCTGACAAGCCACTGAATAATACCCATCTAATGAGTTATATCTTTCCCGCAAAGACGTCTGATAAACAGACGAGTGCATCACATCCATTGGAGGTAAAGAATTGCTTCTAATAATGTCATCTCGTTGGTACATAGGTGGGCGCCAGATGCGCCTGCTGTCGTACACAGGAGCATACATTCCAGAAGGTACTGGAGGAACTGGTCCATACGGCTGCGGAGGAGGAGGTTGGTAAGGAGAAGAATTCATTCGATCTCGAGGGGAAAATGTACTGTAATGATCAGCATATGGCATAGAAGCAGGTGGGAGGGAGGACTCTGGAACATTATTGGACCTCACAAAGCGAGGAACACAGGGAGCCACACCAGCTGGTACCGTTGGAGGTGGTGGGTAGTATCCTTGAAAATTAGAAAGAGGAATATTTAATGTAATCCCAGCAAAATCCAACATCTTATAAAGGTTTAAGTCTAAAGTAGCCTTTAATGTGGGAAAAGAAAGTAAGCTTTGAACTTTAATTACTCTTGCTATAGAAATAAATTACTTTCAGAATCCTACTCTATGAAAATCATTAAAGTTCACTATTTTGTTAAACTGTTTCTCAAAAACACAAGACAGAACTATTAACAGATGGCTGGCAAATTTCCTTCTAGGGCATCTATTGCCACAGGTTTTGGATTAAGTAATTAGCTACATTACCAACTCATAACTTTTGAGAAGCAGAGGTTAAAGACCTTTCAGAATCTATATTAATTGTACATTCTTGCCAAAATTATACAGAAGCATATATAAACCAAATATTCTGCAAATTATTTCAAGGGATAGACAAAATTCCCTGAAGTTCATCCATGGACCCCATATTTGATGCGTAGGAAGGAGAATCTTAAAACTACTGGCATGTAGAATAGATTTTTAGGGCAGAAAGAAAGCTTAATCCAAAGGATTAATTTTTTTTTCTTCTTTTTCTTTCTTTCTATTTTTTTTAGTAGGCTCCATATCCAGCATGGAGCCCAATGCAGGACTTGAACTCATGACCCTGAGATCCAGACCTGAGCTGAGATCGAAAGCTGGACACTTAACCGACTGAGGCACCCAGGTGCCCCCAATTAATTTAACGTAGAGGGGCACCTGGGTGGCTCGGTTAGGTAAGTGTCTTCTTTGGCTCAGGTCATAATCCGAAAGTCCTGGGATGGAGCCCCACTCTGGGTTCCCTGCTCAGTGTTGAGTCTGCTTCTCCCATTCTCTCTCTCATTTCTCTCTCTCTCAAAATAAAGAAATAAAATCTTTTAAAAAAATTTCTTAATGTAGATACTCTAGATAAGGGATTCACTTATCTAAGGATAAGAAATGTTATATTACAGTTTCTTTTTTTTCTTAGAATTGTCTAAAATTACTTACCTGTCTGTGGGTACTGTGGAACTTCAAAGGGTATCTGAGTCCTTGGATCTTGAAAATACTGAATATTTTCAGAATGCTGAGGATATACTGGTACTCTAGTTATAAATGGGCTGGATTTTGGAGGCACAGAATTCAGCTCTGTTCCAACATTAGAAGGCCCAGCTGAGGTAGCCACTACATTACTTACAGGAGTCTTGGGTGGAGAGCCAATTTTACTGGAGAGATAATTTATCAAGAACAAAGAATAAATCACTGTCTGTAACTGTTTTCTTCCTCAGTAGGAATTTTTCATAAAATTATACAGTGAAACCACTAATAGGAGAAACTTCCATAGTGACAAATAAGGCAATGAATTTCACTGCCAACTTTCCACTGCTAAGTCATAGAATCATAGTAACAGATCTCATATTCTAGTGAAGGCAAAAAGAAATGCAAACAAATCCCAGGTACCAATGTAACCCTCCAATCCCTTTTTACTCATTCTTTAAACAAAGATTTTTTTCCTAGAGAAAATTTTTAGAAAAATTATTGTTCAAGAAGTTCTCAACAGAAATATATAGCTAACCCTTGAACAATGCCAGTTTGAACTGTACAGATCCACTTATATGCAGATTTTTTCAATGAATACAATACTATAAATGAATGTATTTTATGCTTTCTTTTTAAAAAATACTTTTTAGTTATTTTTTTAAAGTAAACCCTCAATGTGAGGCTCAAACTCATGACCCTGAGATCAAGACTTGCATGTTTTACCAACTGAGCCAGCCCCTCCTTATGTTATCTTAATGACATTTTCTTTTCTCTAACTTTATGGCAAGAATACAGTAATATAGTACATATAATCTACAAAATCTGTGCTAACAATATGGTATTGGTAAGGCTTCTGGTCAACAGTAGGCTATTAATAGTTATGTTTTTGGGGAGTCAAAACTTACACTCAGACTTCAGACTGCACAGGGGTTGGATGCCCTCAACCCCTGTGTTTTCAAGGGCCAACTGTAGTCCACCAGAATTCTTTGGGACAAAGAAGATGAACATGTAAAAGAAGGGTTGTTCTATTAAGAGATACATGGACTGAAATGTAAACTCCTTGAAGAAAGGTCATTTTTTTCCTTTGGGGATGAGGGGCAAAGGAAGAAGAGAGATAATCTTAAGCAGGCTCCAAACGCAGCCAAGAGAATGTATGAGGCTCCATCTCACAATCCTGAGATTGAGACCGGAGTCAAAAATCAAAAGTTGGACGCCTAACCAGCTGAGCCAGCCAGGTACCATTTTTTGTCCATTTTGTTAACTGCTGTCTCTCCAGAGTTTTGGTAACTGTTGTATTTAGAATTCCTGGCACACAGTAGTCACTCAGTAAATATCTGTTGAATAAATGAAATAGTTCCTGCCACACAGTAGATAATTAATAACTAATGGCAAAATGCCAATTATAGTTACTTATTAAATTGGTGCAAAATACACAAACTTTTTATTATTTTTTTTAAACAAAGGATTTTCTTTGTTGAGTCATCAAGCAATCAGTGTTAGAGGATCTCATCATGGCTTTCTTATGTCCTATTAAGAAGTACAACATTAGCAGACCTTAGATATATGGTGGCTACAGAAAATAAACAAGTTAATGATGCGGAACTCAGTATGTTGCATCCCAAGTAGATTAGAGAGTTTTTCTCAAACTAGAGAAGCCCTTTTAAAGCTAGAATATAAATAAGGAGTATGGCTTGCTTTTAAGCCTAGCACAGCAGATTAGTCTAGCAGATGTTTACTCCTATGTGTAAAATGGAAATAACTAAAGAACTGTGGGTAACAATAGTAGATACAAATTTACTGACTTACAGTTTAAAGATATTTTAGGACTATGCTTATTCTTTGCAATTAAATAAAGGCATCAAGGAAAATGATTAGGATTTCCTTATAACAGTAATGTACTAACTCTTACTGAGCAATTACCGAGCACATTCCAGGCACTATAAATCGTGCTTTATATAGGTTATCTGGTCTTTCCATATCAAAATGTTATATACTATAAAATTTGGATAAGTACTTTGAGAAAAGGCAAATTTTTAGACTTGTCAGCAAAAAGGTATCAAAATCCATGACAAGATTCACAGCCTCATTAGATCATGCAAGCTATCTGTAAAAATGAGACATAAGGAAAATGCTAGCCACTAGTCAAATTCCAGTCACAGAGCTAGATTCCTACACCTGTAGCCTACAGGATTTTTAGGACTCTAGGCTCTCCCGCAGCATGCCCCTCCTGTCTATGTGATTTTGCCTGTGCTGCTTACTGTACTGAGGAGTCCTTCCTATCCATATTTTTGGAACTAGCTCAGGTGTTCCTGAGCTCACCTTATCTCTAAGAAGCCTCCCGCAATAACTCCCTGCAGAATGTATTCTTTTTCTGTGTTCTAATAATACTTGGAACACAACTCCATTACAGTACCTCTCAGAATACAGTATATGGTATCTCTTTATGTCTGCCTCCCAAACCATACTGTAAGATCCTCAGAAGCAGGGAGTAGTATTATCTAGTTCATTTTTGTTACATTTCCACCAATTGGCTGTTAGAAGATCCATAATTTTTGAATAAATGATTTATTTAGATTATTTTTTTAAGTTTTCATTTAAAAAAACTGAGATATAAATATACCTACTGAAGGTGTACAATTCAGTGATTTCTGGTATATTTCCAGGGCTATACAAGAACTATCATCACTATCTAATCCTGAGACCGGGCAGCCCTGGTGGCTCAGCGGTTTAGCGCCGCCTTTGGCCTGGAGTGTGATCCTGGAGGCCAAGGATCGAGTCCCAAGTTGGGCTCCCTGCATGGAGCCTGCTTCTCCCTCTGCCTGTGTCTATGCCCCACCCTCCATCTCATGAATAAATATAAAATCTTTTAAAAAAAAATCCTTAGACATCTTCATCGGCCCTGAGAGAAATCTCTATAGCATTCACTCCGCAGCCCCCAGCAACCACTCACCAACTTTCCATCTCTATGGATTTGCCTATTCTGGACACGGACATAAATGACATTCTATCTTATATGGGCTTTTGTATCTAGCTTGTTTCACTTAACATAGTTTTTAAGGTTCATCCATATTGTAGTATATACTAGTACTTCACTCCTTTTTTAAGACTGAATACATTCCATTGTATGGTCATAAAACAGTTCCACATTATTTTGCCAAAACCCCTCAAAAGCTCATTTTCTAAACATATATATGACACAAGGTCTCAATCTGGTGCCAACCTATCTGTCTAATCTTATTTTAACCAGTCCCTAACAGAACTGTAAATTCTAATAGGCTGGTTTCTTTAATATTCCATATAATTACCTATATTACATATTTTGTTACATATAATTTCCCAGAAGGCAGACTGACAGATTATTTAGGGGCAACAAAATCTGAATACGTTAAAACTCAGATTATAAGACCCTAAAACAAAACCAAAGCATGAGATTTTAGAGGTGGAAGTAACCCTTCCAATTGTCAGAAAGTTGTAAAAGTTTTTCTTAAAGTACCAAACCCCTTTCTTATGCTGAAACCCAACAATATTGGTAATAATAACAACAATAGGTATTTACTGAGTGCTATTTGAAAGGCACTGTTCAAAACACACTGCACTTATAATTCACAAATCCGCACAACCAACATATGTAGTAGTTGCTATCATTCTACCAATTTTATGGATGAGTACACTGAGGAAGACAGATTAACTGGCCTAAGATCAAACAGCTTAGAAAACAGTGAATCTGAATTTGAACCCAAAGAGTTCAGCTCCCAAGAGTCCTCTCTTAACTACCACATATCATTAGAGTACAAAGAGGAATTGTTCAGACTGAAGCAGAGGCTGGAGGCTCAGCATCTCACCTTGCTTAGGTTTCTATTTAGTTTCTTTCTGGCACTTCTATGGACTCAATCCTAAAGTTCCAAGAAGTAAGTGTGCGGGGGGAAAAAAAAAACAAGAAACAATTCTGGTACACCTCTTCAGTTTATAGTCAAGGAAAATAAAACCCACAGCTAAAGTGACTTTCTAAGATCATAGAGCTATATTTAACTGCACAGCCAGGACTACAAGTCAAATTTTTTGGTATTTAAGGCTTTTTCTACTATGTGAAGCATTCTGCATAAAAATTCTGACTAACTCTTCTTCCTTAGGATAAATAAAAATATTCAGGCATTTTTAAAAAACTCACAACAATTTTTATGTAATACTTACTTTTCAGTGACAGACTCTGCAGAAGGCCCAGTAGCATTCTGACCATTAGTGCCAACTTTCCCCACTTTCTTCACAGTCTCCAGAGCTCTTAACGTACTGTCAGTACTACGTGGGATTAGCTGGGAAACATTGTTTTCTGCATTTGAAATTCCGTTTGTACTTGGAACAATTTTCCCCGTTGTTTCAGTACTTCCTATGACAGAAATGACATTTCCGGCTGTGGTTGTGACAGTGTTGTTTACACCAACTTTATTTAGAAGAGGAAATGTTCTTACAGTTGCATTGATCTTTTTGTTCCTTAATCGATACCTGTTTCAAAAACAATCAACATATCGGTGAATACTTCACTAAATTTACCCTGAAGGGGGAAAAAAAGACAATGGGAAAAGATTTAAATAAGTGGAAACAGCTATGAAGAAAAGTTTCTTCAGCTAAATATCAATTACAGTCTATATTAAAACCTGCTGTGACAGGTGCCACAGAAAATAAATATGCCAGGGCTATCTGGGTGGCTCAGTCAGTTAAGCATCTGCCTTCAGTTCAGGTCATGATCACAGGGTCCTGGGGTGGAGCCCCTCTCAGGCTCCCTGCTTAGCAGGGAGTCTGCTTCTCCCTCTCCTTTTGCCCCTCTCTCACACTCACACTCTTTCTCTCTCTCAAATAAGTAAGATTTGTATATAAAAATAAAATATATATGGCACACACAGACACACAGGTAGGCATGTAATTAATATAGCAAGCAAAATACACATGTACTCAAAGACGCCTTTTGCGGGAATGGGAAGAGATCCTTTTGAAAGTTTTATATAACTGGAATATAAAGTACACTTTATAAAAATGAAAATAACCATACCAAATTTATTTAGCAATGCAGAATGAAAAGATATGCAAGAGCTGACAAAATTCTATTACCAAATTGTTAGAGCATTATATAAATTTTAAAAATTATGAAATCAAAACTCATTCTTAAACAGTATACCAAAATATGGAAATTTAGTATTACCATTTTTCAGATTAGTTTACGCCTAAAGTAAAAAGTATTTGGATTAAAGACTTTTCTGATATTAATTTAAGGATTTTATTTATAGTGGTCAGATATAACACTCTAATATATAAGGCAATTTGATCTTGGGAGTCCATTTAAGAAAATTGGTTTCCATTTGTACAATTCAAAAACTTCAGTATAATGTGGTTCTGATCAATGTTTCCTCTAATACTTTCAAGTACTGATCAACTGTTACATGAACAGACAATTCTACACATTTGAAGTCATAATTATATTTGCCTAAATTAATCTGCTATTGTTATACACAAACATATGATAAATATAAATAGCAGTGATGAGCAATGCCTTCACAACAGCGTCCCTTTTCGTCCCTCAGTATCTATAAACAGCCTCATTATACAATGCTGTACTTCTCCCCCCCCCCCCGCCCCCGACACACACACGACAGAGGCATGTGGAGGTCAGTAAAAGACAGGTGTCCCCAGAGTAGACTGGCTGAGGATGCAGTGACAATAGGTTATGGCCAGTCTCCATATGTCATCTCAGAGATTCTGGGGGGCCACTGATGAGGAGTAGGGTACCAGCAAACCACTATATTAGAAAGGCAATTTGGTGGCATGAAGGAGCCTTCTCTTTCCTCAACACACTCTCTGAAACCTATTTATTCTTCACCTCAAAGGTTCTTGCACAAAACACTCTGCTGTTCCTTGCTTTCCATCCTCAAAGGACAAATTTCAGCTATCCTTAAGATTACTCTGTCAGGCAAAAAACAAAGTTTCAATTGCGCATACCTTTAAGGAGAAGTGTTCTAAGAAGTAAAACCTTAAATAAGGGAAGTAAAACAAATGACAAAGTGGGATACATATTGGACTCCTAGCAACTAGGCAGCTAAAGACTCGGACTTACGGATCTGGACCTCAAGCTTAAAAAAGCCAATTACTTCCTATTCTTTTAAAATCATCTTTGAGCTCCCTCAAGTGCTCACTCCCTGTCTCATGCAGCTTCAAATCCCCTTCAGCTCCCTTGGCTCACTCCCCCTGTTGAACTCACCTGGTAAAAACCATCAGATTCTTCACTTATTCTCTCATTCTGTGCCTGCTACCAGGCAGCTGAACATTGGTAGAGAAAAACCATGCCATCATGCTCTCTAGACTCCCTTCAAAATTATGATCAATTATTTAAAATGGGCCAAGCAATAATGATTCTCTACTAAATTCACTTTCCCATCTTGAATATCCTTTCCGCCTCCACAGCTCCTCCACCACTGATAATACTGCCTCCCACTTCACAGAGAAAACAGATGAAATCAGAGAATTACTTCTCTCACCACCAATTTCAGGAACCTTCCTGCATCTGTAACTACATTCTCCTCCAAAAAAAAAGGATGAAGAGTTCCTGCTCCTAACTCAGGCTAATCTTGCCACTTGGGTTCTACCAAGGGCCTCATCTCTCCACTTGAGCCACAGGTCCTAAGCCCATCATCTGCCTTTGCAAAGACTTCACTCCTGCAATGATCTGTTGTTCTAGTGCACCATTGTTTCATCTGGGTGTCTCCTTATATGTCATATCCTCTGAGATGTCTTCCCAGACCACTTATCTAAAATATCTCCCCTTCCCCAATTGTTCTCTTTCCCCATACCTTGTGCTATTTTTCTTCGATAGCACGGATCAGTATCAGATATTATGCTTTCTATTTATTTGCTTTATGTTAATCTTTTCTGCTACAATGTAAGCCCCACAAGAGCAAGGATTTTTGCCTTTTTTACTCACTCTCTATGTTCAGCACATCATACAGTGCCTGGTACATAGATTAGATATCCAATAAATATTTGCTGCATGAATGCAGAGTAAGCCTCTAACTTCATATGGCCAAGAGAATTAATTACTGATTTTTCTACCCCAAAAGCATTTTCCATCTCAGTAAAAGACACTACTTGGTTATGCAGGTCCCAAACCTTGGAGTCATTCCTGATTCTTCTATTTTTTTTTTAGGATTTTTTTATTTATATATGAGAGAGAGAGAGACAGGCAGAGGAAGAAGCAGACTCCGTGCCAGGAGCCAGATGCGGGACTCGGTGTGGGGACTCCAGGATCACGCCCTGGGCTAAAGGCAGGCGCTAAACCGCTGAGCCATACAGGGATCCCCCTTCTTTTTTTTTTTTAAAGTGCATATTTAATCTATCAGCTCTATCAGCCTCAATTCTGAAATATATCCCAAATCTGACCACTTTTCATCATTTCCACTACTATAGTCCTAGGACACCAAGGTATCAATCTTGTGCCTGAGCCACTGTAGTAGTTTAACTAGTCTCCAGCCATGCAGACACTAGTTACATTTCTAAGACAGAATTAAACTCTCATTGTTGCCGGTTGGCTGGCTGGCTCAGTTGGTAGAGTATGCAACTCTTGATCTGCTCAGGGTCCTGAGTTCAAGCCCCATGTTGGGCGTAGAGCTTACTTATAAAATATACAGGACAGCCCCGGTGGCACAGCGGTTTAGCGCCGCCTGGAGCCTGGGGTGTGATCCTGGAGACCGGGGATGGAGCGAGTCCCACGTCAGGCTCCCTGCATGGAGCCTGCTTCTCCCTCTGCCTCTCTCTCTCTATGAATAAATAAATAAAATCTTTAAAAAATAAATAAATAAAAATAAAATATATAAAAGAGTAAAAAAAAAAATCTCATCGTTGTATTTGAATAAAACCCACAGTGGCTTCCACATTACTCACCATGGTCCGTAAGGCCAGTATGATCTGGCCCTTGCCTACTTCTCCAATCTTATCTTTTGTCATTCTCATTCTCCATCTTCCAGACACAGTGGTCTTGTTTCTAGTTCCCAAGCATGCCACACCTGCTTCCACCTCAGACTTTCTTAAAGTATTTTATCAGTAACTGAAATTGTTTTACATGTTTACAGTTCCTCTTCCTCTACTAGAAGCACCTCAAATAGTATCTAGCACCTAACAATCATTTTCATAAATATTTGTTGAGCTGGTTGATCCCAGGGTTTTGATACTCTCCAGAATGCAACTCTTGGAAACAGGATTCTAATATTCTACATTCTAAGATATATTCATATAAATATTTATTTTTAGGAGAGATTGATTAGCATTTACATTTAGTTTGGTTAGAGAGATGCATAGTAGAGCAAGCAGGCCGGAGTAAAATTAATTTATTTAAGTAAGACAAATGTTTGCTGAGCTCCCGGTGTATTATTTGAAATAAGACAAAGGTTCTACCCTCAAAAACTCAGAGATAGGTAGCAATGTGTATTTTTTAGCTAATAGGATAGTGACATCTTCCACTTCTTTAATCCTTTGTATCATCTTAATTTTTTCTTCTTTTTTCAAACAGCAACGGAGAATGTGAAGCTGGCTGGAAATATGAATTGTGGATTATATGCTCTTTCAACATAAATATACTGATTTTACATATCAGATACTTGCTAACTGCAAAAAATATCAAGATGAGTTACCTATAGGATAAATGAAGTCCAGTGAAAAAATACACACGTGCAAATAAATAATTGCAACATGACAAGAGAACTGGGTGTTATAAAGTTACCAAGTATAAAGCACAACACCAGCACAGTGAGGGAAGCAACTAACACTGCCTGGGACATTAGGGAAGTCCTTAGAAGTAAGTTAACATCTGTGTAGGATTAGGAATAGGAGCTCTCCAAATAGAGAAGAAAAAAGCATATGATATAGAGAAACAACATGTGCAAGGGAAAGAATGAAAGAATTTATGTAGTAAATGGTGATTAACTAGGTGTACCTTAAAAAAAAAAAAAAGACTGCAAAAGATGGAGTAAGGCTGGAAACCTAGATTAGGACCACATCCTATGATATACTGAGGAACCAATTTAGAATGTAAAGCAGAAGATGGATATGATTAGATGTTTACTGGCAAAAGAAAATCTTGGTAACAATGAAATAGGTTGAACATAAGATGCCAGATAAAAGGATAGTAGAGTACTACTACATTGATAAATTAGACAAACACATGTGAAACACTAAAAATAGTACCAGACATAAAAAGTGACCAATTAATTTGGCAATAATTATTATTTTTATATTACTATTATAATCTCAGATAAGACATAATAAAATTCTGAAGTAGGTACTGGAGATGGAGAGTAGAAAGGCAGCTTGAAGACAGAAGAGGCGAAACGGGCTGTCAGCTGAGGCACCAGTTATGGGTGGAATGGCAATGAAATCACAGTTTCTCCTCTGACTTTCTCCTTCCCAAGCAAGGTCCCCTAAAAAGTTCACTTTAGCTAAGAAACTCTATTTCAGCTAGGGGGCAAGCTCAATAGATCTCCTAGAGTCTCAAAAATCACCCTGATGTAAACCCCTGTATACAGAGCTGCTTAACACTGGGTGCAAAGAGCATCTTTTTGTTGGGAGGACTCCTGCAGCCTCTCTAGGCTCTTCCAGCTGGGGGAAAAACAGAGAAGAGAAGCAAGTTTCTAGTCTTTTTTTTTTTAAACCTCACACACACTTATCCTCTATCTCATTGTGGCTGATGCAGAGCTCAGGGCCCAGTGCTAACAAATGAGGAGAGAAGACCATAATCAACAAGAAAGATACAGTCCATTGAGCTTACACTGCAATAAGGCAGCCAGTCAGGAAGGCAGAGGTCAGCAAGCTACCTCTTGTGGGCCAAAGTTGTTGTAAGTATACAGCTATGCCTGTTTTATGCACTCTGGTAGCTTTTCTGCTACAATGGCAGAATTGAGTGGTTGTGACAGAGTTCACCATATGTTCCACCAAACTGAAAAATATTTACTACCTGGACCTTTACATAAAACTTTGCCAACCACTAAAATCTACCATAGGTTAATCATAATTTTGATAAGTATGACAAAGAGGAACCTGGTTTAGTATGTAATATTAGGAGGACCCCCCTGAAAAAGTAAAGGATAAGCTAGAAAAAAAAAATGCTCTCGAAGGCAAGGTCCCAAGGTACAGCATGATGTAGAAGCTCTAAGATGGGAAGGAGCATGGTGTGTTCCAGGCAATGACAGAAGGTAAGCGTGGCCTGCGTATAGAATACAATTTGGGAGCACTGTGAGATGAGATCAGAAATGTAGGCACGTAGATGGTGCAGGGCCCACAATCTAGATTTTATAACTTTATCCACAGGGTAATGAGAAATTGTTTTGCACGATCTGCAATGAGCCTAATGTATAAAGTTCTCCCTGTTTTGTGGGGAATAATGGGTTTGTTGCAGAGCAACAATAGCTGTAAGACTAGTTAGGGGACAATGGCAGATTGGGAAAAGGGGATGAGAGCTTGGACTGTAAGACTAGAAAGAAAAATTGAGAAACAAACATACAGGCAGGAAGCTGAAATGATGTGGTGACTAAGACAAGCAGGTGAAAGAAAGATGACAGAGGTGATGCCTTTAACATGGCATGTATAACTCGCTGGACAGGGTACACTGGGGGAGAGCAGAACGAAAGAAGGGAGTAGAAAACTAGCTCAACTTGAGTTTAAAGTGTCTAAAAACAAAAGGGAGATGTTCATTAAGAGTTGATACACAACCCAGTTATATACTAGAAAGGTTGGAATCAGTTTTTGGGCAAGATCTCAATGATGAATGTTTTGGTTAAAAAAACAAGAGGGGCACTTGAGTGGCTCGGTCCATTAAGTGTCTTCCTTTGGGACAGACCATGATCTCAGGGTCCTGGGATCTGGCCTGAATTGAGCTCCCTCCCCTGCTCCTTTTGCCCCCTCCCCTACTTGTGTGCTTTCTCTCAAATAAATAAAATCTTAAAAAAATAAAAATAAAAAAAGGAAACTTAGACAATACGTAATATAGTTAGTTTATATCCATTTATTTCTGTGTGTGAGGTAAATGGACAGTGCAAGAGGGATTACCCAGAGGACAAGAGAAAGAGAAAAGAAGATGCAGAGAAAAGAATGTTAAAAAGACCAAAAGTCATAAATAAAAAAAAACAAAAAAAACCCTTTATCTGCTATACTTTTTTACCTGGGACTTTGCTGTTATCTTCAACTGAACCTGAGCAAATAAGAATGCATGGAGGAGTGTTTTTGTTCTGCCCAAGTGCTTAGCAAAAACATGGATTCCAGAGATACAATGGTCTAAAATATGACCTCTGAATAAGATTCTAAGTCAATTATTATGTTAATCTTGCTTTGAGAAGTGAGAAGGTACAGTTTAAAAGAAAAGATTATCTTGCAATCTAAAGAACTCTACAATGTGAACTTCATCACCACAAACTTTGAGACTATAGAGGACACTTCATAATGACACCAAATTAAACCCATATGAAAAAGAATTCTCATAACTTACTTTTCAAGCTCTTCCTGAGAATGGGCAAAAGTACAGTTTGTTCCTCGGGGACATCCTCCTTGTTGACGCAGGTCTCGGCACATGCTAGTCTTGTATTTGCTGTTAGGCTGAGGCTATGAGAAAGAAAATTGGTGCGTGGAAAAGTGAAGACTCTTGAGATTTCAGAATTTTATGATTTACCCTTTAGTTCTTTTTCACATTAGAGAAGTAATTCTTGTGCTGAAGCAACTGCCATTCTACCATTTCCCGTTAGGCATTACCCACGGTAACTCTGAACTGGTGTTTCAAATATTCCTTCTGAGGATTATCTGAAACTGGTTTAAATGTTGTCTATTTATTTGTCAGGCAACACAATGCCCACAAAACTAAAAGATTTTCTCATCAATTCACTGCTGTCTTAAAATTATGATACCAAAACAAATGATTTAAAAAGCATTTAAAAAGCCATAAGCTTTGTCCGCTTAAACTTTCCCAGGAGAGAAAGAATACAATTTCCCCTGAAAGAAAATTTATAAATCCAACTTATTTGTCAGCTTGACAAATAAGGCTTGGAGCTGTTTAAGTTCACATAACAATGAGGCAAAATATAAAAACCTCCTGTAACTGGCATAACTGCATCAAAATTTAAGATGTCATTATTATTTTTGTGACCTTAACAAAGATGAAACATTTATCTGTCAATGTTTGAATATCATAATGTTTTCTAACAGAATAAAGGCAGAAGAACAGAAAGATCACTTTCAGAGTAAATCTGATCCCAGTTCTGTCACTTATTGCCACCAGGACCTTAGATTTGTTATTTAACCTCTTTAAACTTCAGTTTGGAAAAAGCAATTACCTTGCAGGTGGCTGTGAGGATTAGAAATTATATAAATAAAACACTGAACATAGGAACTTGGCTCACAGTGACATAATAAATAGGAATCATTATTAGAATAAAAGATTACAGCTTAGACAACGCTTTCTGAAGTACATTGCAAATATTTTAAAAATTCAAACTCCACACATTTACAAACAGATATTCATTTGTATGAGAGCAATGGAGAAAAAGCTGACAATTTCCCTACATGAGAAAAGAATTAGACAAAATGTCTGGAAGGAATCACTGATCTATATTTGGTCAAAAACATGTGCAGTGAACTCTATATTCAAAATACTCTCCCAATGGTTACTGTGCTATGAATTATTTATCAGGCATACTAAAACTTGAGTTTCTCCCAAAAGAACAGATAATAGAAAACTAAAAGAGCAGAGTCATGGAAGAAGTCCATTAACCAAAAAAGCTTGTTCAAGTTGTTCAGGATGAACCTCTGTCAGAGGTAACAGTGGTCAGAAGTGAACATGCTTACCTGAGGTGTCTCATGGCCTTTTCTACTATAATTTTGTATGAAGTCCACAAGGCCATGAACCACTGTTTTAACAGCTACCATTGCATTTTCTAGCTGCTCCCAAGTTGGTGAAACAGCATCTAATAAAATAAGCCATCAAGGAGATGGGGGAAGAATTTGTTAGCAGTAATTCTCTTGTGTTATCTACCTCAAAGGTAGAAAAACTATAAGCAACAGAGTATTTTTCCACATACCTGGATTAGGGTCTATGTTTGCAAGAAGTTCTAAATGAGGCCTCAGTCTATTTAAGTTAGCTGGGTCACCTGTTCGTTGCAAAACAATTGTCAATTCCTGGACACTCTTTGCAAATGATTCCGGAGACTGCAGCTAACAAACAGAAAACAGAATGGCTTTTACTCTGGTTCTTATGACACATCTATATTCAAATGCTTCATTTAGCCAACATTCTAAAGGTTTCCAAGTGTCTTCAGATTCCATAGTAGGACTATCAATGATGAATACAATTTTCACCTCAGAATCTGCCCTATGAAATTCATCATCAGACACTTAGAAAATTTACTTATAAGCTGTATTAGTTCTCTGGGGTCAGAACCCAGACAGACAGACTCTGTAAGCCAGGCTGCTTTTATGCTACTATCCTACATTTGCTTCCCTGTTGCCTCCATTAGTTTATTTTGAAGATTAAAAAAATAATAAAGGGATGCCTGGGAGGCTCAATGGTTGAGCTTCTGCCTTCTGCTTAGGGTGTGATCCCAGGATCCTGGGATCGAGCACCATATTGGGTTCCTTGCAGGGAGCCTGCTATTCCCTCTGCCTGTGTCTCTGCCTCTCTCTCTGGGTCTCTCATGAATGAGTAAATAAAATCTTAAAAAAATAAAGAAATAATAAAAAGAAATAAAGATAAAATAATACAGCGTCTGATACTTAAAAACAGAGGAATCTCCAACTAATTGTCTCTTTAGTCCCTTCTGAAGATTGCAATGCTCTTCAATGTAACAGCAATGATATAAAACAAGCACCACTAATTTCACAAACCTTATCAATGATAGACTGCATGTGTGATTTATGTGCCAAGTCACCATACAGAAGTGAGGACCACTGCTCAGGTGAAATGCGGAGTCCTGCTTCCATTGCAATATGAACAATTTGGGCATCATGTTCTCTGCGTAATGCTTCGTAACTCCTAAATTCCTCCTTTAGCTGCATCAAGGAAGAGTCTTCATCCCTTTTGGTAACCTAAAAGATAGAAAGGAGAAAAAAAAAAATCAAAATTGGTCTGCTCTCTCCCCTCCTTCACTCAATTCTTTTGTGGGGAGCGTAGAGGTGTCAGATACTAGACAAAAAAGGTGCAAGGAAAAGAAAGGTCTTTTCACAAATTTTTTGGAACAAGGCAGAACTTACATAACCCAGTACATAGTTTTGCCTTCCTTCAGTGAGCTCAGCAACTGATAAGAAGACGCTTGTAAACAGAAAGTTACAGTATATGTGCTATTATAATGCTCCACAGCAACATAAAGGAAAGGCAATTAAATCTGACTGGTGGGAGAAAGGGGTTACAGAGAAGGCTTCCCCCACTTGAAAGCTGCATAAACTAAGTCTTGAAGAATAAATAGGAATTTTCATGTAAGAAAAAAATCCTAACAAGAGTAGTAAGTAGCAAAATAGAAAAATGAAAGAGCAGGGATCCCTGGGTGGCGCAGCAGTTTAGTGCCTGCCTTTGGCCGAGGGTGCAATCCTGGAGACCCGGGATCAAATCCCACGTCGGGCTCCCGGTGCATGGAGCTTGCTTCTCCCTCTGCCTGTGTCTCTGCCTGCCTCTCTCTCTCTCTGTGTGACTATCATAAATAAATTAAAAAAAAAAATTAAAAAAAAACTTAAAAAAAAAAAGAAAAATGAAAGAGCAGAGCATATAGAATTAAAGGCTGAGATACAGGCTAGAAAAAAAAAAATCACAGAGAGCCTTACAAACTATGGTGAGAAATTTGTATTATCCTGAAGGGCATGGGAAGTCAATAAGGACTTTTAAGCAGAGGAATGACAAATCAGTCCAGCCAACAGGTAGACATAGATTAGCACTATCACGTGATAATTAAGAAAATTTCTATTACCATAAAAATGATCATTAGGATATTTATACAGCAGATACCTGACTTAAGTTATTTAAAAAATATAAATTCAAAAGTTTACAGAGCTTCACATATCCTACTGAAACTGTCTTATTTGCCAACATGCAAGTAGATGACTAGAAAATTTCCAAAATAGATGGTACATATTTACCTAAAACTTGTACACTGACATTTGAAACTTGGCTAGGATTCAGAATACCCAGGACTAGCACAAACTCTGAAACTCAGACTGAACAAATCATTCAAACTGTTCAAAATCATGATTTCTTCATTAGTAAAATGAAAATATCCCCAGACCACCTCACTGGTTGTTTCTACTGCTATTGTTGGCACATGAGACAACAATAGTATGACCCGCCCAGAACATGAAGATGGGAAAATCAAGTTACCAACTGAGAATTAATAGTATCAGTTCACAATTCTCTTTGGGAATAGGTAATTACATTATAGAAAAGTGTGGGACACCCGAAATTCTAATCAACACAAGTTTAGGTATAATTTAAGAGACAGCAGAGTATATAACTTAGAAATCACAAAAATCTTTTTTTTTTTTTTTAAGATTTTATTTATTTATTCATGAGAGACCCAGAGAGAGCGGCAGAAACACAGGCAGAAGGAGAAGAGGAGAAGCAGTTCCATGCAAGGAACGCAATGTGGAACTTGATCTCGACACTCCAGTATCACGCCCTGGGCGGAAGGGAGGCGCTCAACCGCTGAGCCACCCAGGCGTCCCTAGAAGTCACAAAAATCTATATTCTATGCTAACCTATTTAAAGAAACACCAAGAAAACAAAAAAGTTAGCAGCCTAAAATATAGAAGAACCCAAGAACCAGATGACAGTAGCACTGATTCAAATACCAAGTAGGCTACGGGGTGCCATGTAGGCAGCATAAGCATCTATTCACCTGAGTGGTAAAGACAAGACAGAGGTGGCTAACAGAGCCTGGTCATATTAAAGTTCTCACTACCACGCATCAAAATCATCCACAAAGCATTAGAAACTACAATTTCAGGTAATCACAATTCCTGGCTTTGAAGACCACACAATTTAAAAAGTATATATGAATGCTCAAGTCCTACATCAGATACACCAAATCAGAATATCTGGGGATGGGACCCAGGAATGTATACTTTTAAAAACCCCACAGATAAATAATTCTGATGCAGATCATTAGTTGGGAATCACTGCATCAAATGTTAGAATCAATCATTAACTCCCCTTGTGCTGATTCCATGCTAATCAAGCAAAGGTCTGATACTCTTTCTGCAGGAAAATATCTGCAATATGATGATTTAAGTCATGTAAGAGTTGCACTTCTCATTACAAATTAATAAAATTGATCATAGATTGTGTGTGACCTTGGTAAGGGTGCATCCGTTCCTGAAGAACCGTATGCACCCACAAAATTCACATCTCTGAGCCTATAAAATCAAGGCAAGACCTTTGATAACGATGATTTTATCAGAGTAAACAATACCCAAGAGAGGTCTTTTGGCAGTTAAGTCAGCATGATATCTTTTTATTAATCTAAACACTGCTTTAATGTTTTAAGCTAGAGGCCAGTAAGGATGAAATGAGAGCATAAAATTGAAATCCTTTTCTATACTGTTATTCAAATGTCAGATAGTAGTAACTGTAGATGTATGATCATAAACCACAAAGCAGTATGATGCCTATAAGAGAAAATACACATTAAGTCAGGAATACACAGTGTGAGAACCTAGTCTGTCACTTCAGGATGATAAATGATCTCTGTAATTTGGCTGCTTAGCCAAAAACATAATGCTTGAGGAATCAGGGATTCATTTCTATTGTTGCCCTAAGGGCAACAAAATCAAGCACTATAACTATCAGGGAGATAGTGTCCAAGCCTCATTAGTGGAGATAAATGAGTTCATTTGAACAGATTTCCATCAGCAATTACCTGTTATTTCAAACTATGCAGTCTGCCGAAAAAATTTTTTTCTGTCTGTACTATTTTCACTCTTGGGCTTATATATATAAAACCAGCAAAATAGCTTAAATAAGCTTTGGCTTTCAAATTTTGATGTTTTATAGAAGCCAATGGACCTTTACAGTTCCAAGTCTTTGGGCCTTTCTCAAGATCCAGCTAGCAACCCCTACACTTTTTTTTTTTTTTTTTAAAGTAGCAACCCCTACTCTTGTAATATGAAGAAACTTAAGGATTTGGCCTACTTTCCACCTCCCTCAGTACCTATAATCACCCACAATTCTAAAAGACAATGAAACTACATTTCTAAATATCTTGGGATTTTTCTGTCTTTTCCACCAAAACAAAACACACACACAAAAATCACACTACCTAAATGCAGAGTGGGGCAAGTACCTCAACTTTTCACTCTTGTTCTGAGGCAACATTATAAGCCATCTTCAGATTAAAGGTTGTAATCTAATCACAACAGGGAATAAGATAAAAATAACGGGAAGTTGAAACATTTACCAACTTTAAATACTTTTAGGTAGTTTTCCCTTTTAAGATGGTAAATTCATTTGAATTAGGCTGCTTTAGTCTACATTCATTATCCCGAGAGTCAAGTTTACCAAATTATTTCCTTATGCTCAGTTTTGTGTTATGCACATCTTCACATGTTTATTCCCAAGAGGTAGCATCACAGATGCAAACAAAGCAGAAGGAAAACAAAGTTTCCTTTCAACTCTTGAAAGCATTCTGTATTCCTGGAGCCTCTAGACCAGGTAACACTGATTCTAGAAAGCCTCTGTCTCACACACAAGCAACTAACATCTAGATGGTTGCTTGCTACGTACCTTAAAACATGAAGCTCGATACAGTAGTTGCACAACATGACCAATACTTGTTTTTGATGCCTGAGGAAATCTTGGTTCTAGTCTTTGCACAACAAAAAGTACCAGTACTTTCCTTGAGAGAGCAGAACCATCTTCTAATGCTAGCAACACCAGCTTTAAGGCCTCTTCTTGCATAGCTAGAAGTAAGGAACATGAATTCACAATTAATGAGAAACCTTGCAGATCATGTCTGCCAAACTTCTTTGGGTTTTAGTTCATGGCGGTCCATCATCCACAGTCTATTTCATTAGCACAAAAAGAAGACATCACAAATATAAAAATACAATTTACTTAATTAAAAATCAAACAAAATATAATTTCTATTAAATAACCATTTAGCACACAAGTCAACAGAATTTAAAATGTATCTTCTGAAGGTATTTAACGATCAACTAAATAATGTTAATGTTACAGTGCGAAGAAAAAAAATCCTCATTTACAAAATACATGAAATTACTCTAACATATAGAATAACATATAAGGGACATATATTAGTCTCGTGATAAATGATCATTTTTCTTTAATGCGTGAGACTATTAGACAATTTGCCTGACATAACAATTTTGCACATAATTTTAAAGTGATATTAGCCTCTGGGAGCAATACCTAAAGAAGGTATTAATTTATGTTGTTTTCCGGCCAGGGGTGTATATAGTATAATCTGAATCTAAACATGAGGGAATATCAGGCAAACCCAAATTAAGCAATTGTTTATAAAATAACTGCCTGTATTCTTCAAGAATACCAATATCAGACAGAAAGGCTGAAGAATGGTTCCAGTCTCTTTAAGAAGATGAAAAGAGATGACAAACAGAATAAGTGGCCTGAATTATATTCTGAAAGAAAATAAATGGCATTAAAGACATTTCTGGGGTAATTGACAAAAACAAAATACAAATTAGATTTTAGTATGGTATATAAGTTAAATTTTTTTGAGTCTGATGAATAAACTGTTGTTACATAAAATGGTATCCTTGTTTTTAGGAAACATTGCAAGTATAAAGGGATACAAGGGCACTAAAATATGCAACATGTTCTCAAATGGTTCAGGAAAGAGAAAAAGAGCAAATAACATGACAAATATAACAAAATATTAAAAACTAACAAATGTAGATAAAAAGTATACAAGAATTCTCTGCATTATTCTTGCAAAGTTAAAGTTTTAAAGTGCACTGGTTCTCAATTAAAATGGGAACTTCAGAGCTGAGAGGTCATCTATAATCTGGATTACAAATCAAATCCTTTTTCAAATGAGGTATTGAGGTCAAGGTTCACAACTAGTTAGCAGCAAAACTGTACTTGCACCAATGACTTTTTAAAAAAATTGAGGTAAACTTTATATAAAATTAACCATTTTAAAGTATACAATTCACATGAACAACCATAAGGTCTATCTAGGAAACCTACAGCATAATGGTTTATGTCACTCCCCTTAGCCTCTACCCACTGCCTTTGGCAATCACTAGCCTGCAGTCTGAATCTATGAATTTACCTTTGTGGATGCTTCAAATACATGGAATCACAGAATGTGTGACCTTTTTACTGGCGTCTTTCACTTAACATAATATTGAAGTTTACCTACATGTATCATTTCCAATCCTTTTTAAATTTTTATGCTGACTTTACACAGAAATGAAAATATTTTATGTATTTTAATTTCTTTCTGTGGCTGAATAATATTCTATTTATGGACAAAGCACATCTGGTTATCCACTCATCAGCTGATGGACATGAGGACTGCTTCCACTTTTGGACCACTGTGACAAATATTGCTGTGAAATTGGTGTACAAGTTTTAGTTTGAATCTGTTCTCAGTTCTTTGGGGTAGATACACAAGTGGGACTGCTGGGTGATATGGTAACTCTAACTTTCTGAGGAACCACCAAATCATTTTCCACAGAGGCTGCACCGTTCTACTTCCCAAGTTTCACGCATATCCTCACCAACAATCTTTTTCCATTTTTTTACCTTATGGCAAACCTAGCTGGTATGAAGTGGTATCTCATTGTGATTTTGATTTGCATTTCTTTAATGACTACTGATGCTAAGCATCTTTTCATGTGCTTTTTGGCCATCTGTGTACTTTTTTTGGAGAGATGTCTTTTCACCCTCTTTGTTCATTTTTTTTTTTTTACATTGTGTTGTCTTTTTGCTGTTGAGCAGTAGAACAAAAGATATTTGATACTCAGTCTAGTGCTTCTTAGGTCAGGTAAATAAATATGAGGAAATATCCAAAGACAACATTCTTAAATTATATATAAATGTGGATTTTTAAAAATATTTTTCAATTTAACTTTGCATTATGGAAAATTTTCAACATACAAAAGTAGAGATAACATGATCCCATAAGATAGCTGTTGCCAGTTCTTACCCACTTTTCTAGTTTGCTTTGGCTGGCATGTTTTGAAGGTAATCCCAGACAACATAGCATTTCACCTTTAAATAATTCATTATTTATTTCTAACATGTAAAGACTTCAAAAACATTTTTATAACTTTATCACATTTTTAGAAAGTAATATATATCCCTATTATCATATAATATTCAATCCGAAGTTGAATTTTTTCCCACTGTCTCAAAAATTTCTTCTTATAGTTGGCTTGAGTAAGTATCCAAATAAAGTCCATACATTGCTTTTGATTAATATGCCTTTAGGCTTAAAATACACACACACACACACACACACACACACACACACACACAAAAGCTTCCCACTACCTTCCACCCTCTCATTAAAGAGAAAATTCAGTTTTTCTCTGAATTTTTTTAAGAAACAATCATTTTTCTAAACACTTCCCCACATTCTTGGTTTGGCTTATTTTGTGCTTGTAGTATTCCTAAATATGTTCATTTATCCTCTTTATCTCATGTAAACTACAGGCTTGATTAGATTCAGAATGAGCTTTTGTTTTTTGAGATTTTGTTTCTTTTTCTGCCAAGCATACTTGTTATTCCATATATTAAAAGTGGAGACAATTAAGGCCTAGTAGTCTCACTTTTAGTAATGTTAATGTTAAGATTGATATTAGGTTCAGGTCTCACCCATCTATAGCAAATTTTCCCAGGAACCTCACATCTAATGGTTTTAACAGCTACTAACAATTCTTGTGTAGACCCATTAATTGACTTGAGATTGTAAATGTGTGATTTTTCTAATTTTGACACATTTTTTTCTAAATTTATTAGCTGGAATTTTGCTAAAAGAGGTACCTACATTCAACACCCTGAGAAACTGTCCTTGAAAACAGTTTGTAAAGGAAGGACGGAAAAATTTGCTTGACTTTTATTCTACTCTTTCATAATTTCTAGAATAATGTGTTGGCATTATTAAGCAACTGCCAAAGAAAACCATTTAATTTTTCTTGTACCGTCATTACAAAATCTTGGATTTTCATATATTTTATCTTTCAATCCATTAATCATTATTCATTTTGATTTTCAAACCGTGCCAATCGCGTCCAGCGGGAGACCCTTCAAATTTACTTATTTTGATGTGATGCCAATGATCTTTGATAGCTTTTGTGCTTTCTACGCCAAGAATTCCCAGGCTCAACTTGTACTTCCCCACCCTAGAATTGGAATATGGCATTTATCCAAAGAGCCCGGTTTCTTTTTAATGGGCAATGGTATTTATTAAGGGTCATAATCTGGGTGTTATGGCTATTCACTGCTTCTAAGCCCGGTGGGCAGACCTAGAGAATAGGCATTTTTAGAGGAAGAAAAGTAAATGAGCCTGTATTTACAGTGACAATTCAAATTTAAGACCAAAGGGTTTTTATATAAATTCTTTGACTTCATACTTGTATCTTTTTTTTTTTTTTTTTTTGGTAATGCTGAAAATCTTGGTTCCTGATGACATTAACACCATAGCTACTTAAATTTCAAATAGGTCATAAATAATTATTAAAAAATAAATCATACAACTGTAAAAAATACCAAGCATGGACAGCCTGGGTGGCTTAGTGGTTTAGCGCTGCCTTCAGCCCGGGGTGTGATCCTGGGGAACCGGGATTGAGTCCCACGTCGGATTCCCTGCATGGAGCCTGCTTCTCCCTCTGCCTGTGTCTGTGCCTCTCTCTCTGTCTCTCATGAATAAATAAATAAAATCTTAAAAAAAAAAAAATACAAGCATGAATTCCTCTGTAACTTAGTATAGGAAACACTTTTTTTTTTTTTACTCCAAATCCAGAAGTAGTAACTGAAAAGACTGATATTTGACTATATTTTTTAATTGCATCACGGAAAACATCAACAGCCCTGACAACAAATATTGTCAACCTTTTGAATTCTGCCAATCTGATATGTGAGAAATGGTCAATATAATTTTCATGTGTATTTCTCTTGATAGAGAAACACTGAGTATATTTTAGATGTTTGAGGGCCATTTACATTACTTTTTCTTGTGCATTTTCTGTTTATGTCTTTTGCCAATCTTCAGTTGGGTGGTTGGTGTCTTTTTCTGAGTTTTTAGAAGTACCTTACGTATTAGTTTTATTAGTCATTTGTGATATAATAAAAACATTTTCTAAGTTTGTCATTTATTTTTACTTTGATGTTTAAGTAGCTACGGTGTATGAGAAACAGATCTAATTTTGTCTTTTTCCACATGTCTATTCAGTTGTCTCAATGCACTTGTTTAAAAAGTTTCCTTTACACACAGTCACACACAAAATTCTACCTGACTGTAGCTCTAAATCAGAAAGGTAAAACAATAAAGCTTCTAAAAGGTAACAGAGAAGTGTACTTCATTCATAACCTTGGTATAGGTAAAGATTTTTTAAGTGGAATGTAGATGGAAATAACTATGAAGGCATTATCCCTGGTGATTTGTATGTTTGTGTGTATAATTTGTCTTCCAAGTTTTAAAGACAATTAAAATTTTTTCATTAAAAAACTTTATTTTTCCTTTACTTACTACCTGTATAATATCAGGCCTCTCTAACTCGATTTTTTAAATTATAAAATTGGATCTGTGTCACTTCTTTCGAAAGCTGCTAAAGATTAAATGAGAAATTTATTCTAAAATGCTACAGTACTGTCACATAGATTATGATTAGAAAAACTGGTTTAATTATGTCAATATTTATATGTATAAATAAAGATGGGTTAAGTCTCAGGATTCTCAACTAACTCTAGAAATTGGCATCCTCTAACCCTGATAGCCAGTAAGAGAAAAGACGGTGATCTATCCTACCTGGCCCTAGAAACTGGCATCCTCGAGCCCTGACAGCAGCCCACAGGTTGGCAGACAATTGCTGGGGATTCTGGTGCTGTAATATTAGTTCTGTTACAGTTCTTTCTCCAAGTGAACGGGCTGCTCGCATGGCTCTTACACGACCTTCTTCCTCCACCAGTTGACAGTTTACAAGTGTCACCAGTTTCCTTTGCATTGGCCGGCTCAGTGCACTCTGATTCAAACTAGCTACACCTTTAAGAGGAAGGAAACAAAGTTTTTCAATTAAATAAAACAAGTCAATTTTCATTATCCATACTTAACTATGAAGCCATAATTTGTAATGAGTCCTCTGTAAGGTACTTTCACTGTTTTAACAAGAGTATTACTATTCTGTGGTAACAGGAGTCTAATTTTTAGTTACTTCAAATTTTATTTAGGTATCCTGTTTTCTGGGTTGCATGTGTCCCTCAAGAGACTATTCTGGGGGCAGCCCCGGTGGCGCAGCGGTTTAGCGCTGCCTGCAGCCTGGGGTGTGATCCTGGAGACCCGGGATCGAGTCCCACGTCGCGCTTTCTGCGTGGAGCCTGCTTCTCCCTCTGCCTGTGTCTCTGCCTCTCTCTGTGTGTCTCTCATGAGTAAATAAATCTTAAAAAAAAAAAAAAGGCTATTCTGGGTTTATTTAGCCTGTTTTCCATCCAGTTATGAAAAGTTTAGTAACAGCTCTAATTTTATTACATACATGACGTTTGGAATAGAATTTAATGGCAAACTCTAAGATCATAATCCATTTTCCTAACTCAAGGATATGCTCCAGCAATTCTTTCCTCTCTCTGATATCATTACTTCTTCCCTTTCTATTTGATTGCTTCCATCAGCAAGACAAAAAAAGAAAGCATGCTGTTATTTCATCCATCTTCAAAATAAATCTTTTTATTCATTGCTTTTCACCTACCAGTTCTGCCCCATTTCTTTCTTCTCTTTTGTAGCAAATCTCTAGTATTGTCTATATTCACTATCTCCAAATTCCTTTTTTTTTAAATAAATTTATTTTTTATTGGTGTTCAATTTACCAACATACATAATAACACCCAGTGCTCATCCCGTCAAGTGCCCCCCTCAGTGCCCGTCACCCATTCACCCCCACCCCCCACCCTCCCCTTCTACCACCCCTCCCCTTCTACCACCCCTAGTTCGTTTCCCAGAGTTAGGAGTCTTTATGTTCTGTCTCCCTTTCTGATATTTCCCACACATTTCTTCTCCCTTCCCTTCTATTCCCTTTCACTATTATTTATATTCCCCAAATGAATGAGACCATATAATGTTTGTCCTTTTCCGATTGACTCATTTCACTCAGCATAATACCCTCCAGTTCCATCCACCTTGAAGCAAATGGTGGGTATTTGTCATTTCTAATGGCTGTATCCCCAAATTCCTTGCATCACAATCTTTAAAACCTATTCCAATCAATCTGTTGCTCCTATCACTTTATCAAAACTGCCTGTAACGACAATTACCTCTACTTTGCTAAGTCATTGGTCAATTCACAGTAACTTCCCTTACCTGACCTTTCAACAGCCCTCAACATACAACCACTCCTAATTCCTTTAAACACTTTCTTTACTTAGCTTCCAGAATACTCCATCTCTCGCTCTTCTTCTTTCCTTTTATTTCAGGTCTTTTTTTTTTTTTAATCTGATTTCATCTTTTCTTCCTGACTTCTTAATGTTAAAATGCCTCAGAACTCAGTTTTTGTTTTCTTTATCTACGTTCACTGTGTGCATGATCTTAGCCAATCTTATTAGTTGCTGTAAATTATATTCATATGTTAATGACGCCCAAACATACAGTTTCTATACCTCATTCCTTAACATATATCCACTGGTTACTCAATAGCATCCAAATGAAGATCTGACATCTCCAACATAACATGATGAAAACTGAACTCCTGATCTTCCCATCTAAACTTGATCTACCTACAGTATTCCTTATCTAGGTTGATGGCAATCTCTTTCTATGTGCTCAGACCCCAAAACCCAGGAGTCCTCTTTGATTCTGCTTTTTCTCACAGCCCACGCGCAATAATTTAGGAGATTCCCTGGACTCTACTTTCAAAATATTTCCCGGCCATTCACTTCTCATTACCTCCACTGCTACTATGGTGGCCCATTAGCCTATTAACCAATACCCTGCTCCTATCCTTTCCCTTCTACACTGAATTCTCAACAGAAAAGCTTGAGAGATCCTTTAAACATTAGTCAGATTGTGTCACTCCTCTGCTTAAAATCCTAGAGTGAATCCCCAATTTCACTTGGAGTAAAAGTTCGAATCTTTAAAATGGCTTGCAAGTCTGCACATTATCTGGTCTTACCACTTCCTTTCATCTATATCCTACTGGTCTCCCCTTCACTCCCACTGCTCCAGGCACACTCTCCTATTATTGTTCTTTGAAGATACTAGGCATGCACTAGGGACTTTACTATTGCCTTTCTAGAACAGTCTTCTTCTTTTTTTTTTTTTAAAGATTTATTTATTTATTTGAGAGAGAGAGAGAGAGAGAGAACAAGAGGGAGGGACAAAGAGAGAGAGACAGAGAATCCCAAGTGGATTCCATGCTGAGCATAGAGTCTGACTCGGGGCTTGATCTCAGGACCCAGAGATCACAACCTGAACCGACAACAACAGTCAGATGCTTAACTGACTGTACCATCTACGTGCTCCATCCTTATTGCCCCTCTGGAACAGTCTTTTCCCAGGAACCTACATGGCTAACTACCTCACCTCTTTTTTTTTTTTTAATTTTTATTTATTTATGATAGTCACACACAGAGAGAGAGAGAAAGGCAGAGACACAGGCAGAGGGAGAAGCAGGCTCCATGCACCGGGAGCCCGACGTGGGATTCGATCCCGGGTCTCCAGGATCGTGCCCTGGGCCAAAGGCAGGCGCCAAACCGCTGCGCCACCCAGGGATCCCACCTCTTTCATTTCAAGTTTAGAAGCTACCTTCTTTATGAGGCCTACATTAACCACCTTCTATAAAATTGCAATCTGCCCTTGTCCTCTCACCCTGACCTTTCTAATCCCTTTAACTGTATTATTTTACTTCCATAACAATTATCAATTATACTATATAATTTTTATTATGTTTATTGTTTATTATACTTTCTCTCTTTTCTGAAACATAAGTTCTCTGAGGGCAAGCATTTTACTCATGCCAAGAACCAAAATACGGCCTGGCACTTAGTCCATGCTTGTCAGTATTTGCTCAATGAATGAATGAATGAATGAATGAATGGAGGTGGATAGGCTAAGTTTCTCAAGGAAATCACTGTGTCCTAAATATTCAATAGTGCAAAGCATAGAGCAGGTATAAAATAATACTTGATGGATTCATCTAAGATGTGTGGGTCAGGTATGCAGTGATAATCAAATAGAATTCTGTAAAAATAAATAAATAAAAAAAAAATAAAATTGAATTCTGTTTCTGTCAAACACTTAAAGTAATTTATTGTACTTATATGCCTATCGCCCCTGATAGACTGTGGGCTCTGTGAGGGAGGGTTAGGCAGGGACCCTAACCATGATAAATGCTCAATAAAATTGAATGACTGAATATATGAAATTCTGAGCAGGACTTATTAAAATTGATATTCTGCTACAGCAGTATTATTTTAATGAATACAAATACCGTAGAAATCTCAATATGTAGTATCTGATGAATTCTTAAAATAGTAACAATATTAATTATTTTCAGAAGAAAATATAATGCTCTCCAACAAAAAGTTTTCCAAGAGTTGTCCAAACTCATTTTTTAAGAGTCAAAATTATTGGATAGAGTATTAACATTAAGTCTTTCAAAGTAAATATGTTACCAAATCCTGCTCACCAGTAAAAACACTTTTTATGAACCTACCTTTACCTCCACTTAGTGGTTTCAAGTAGAGTGCCAAATCCTCAACACATTTCTTTGCAACCTCATAGTGTTTGTTCTCACCTAGATTACTTAACTTTATTGACTGATGATCTGGTACCTAAAAAAAAAAAAGAAAAATTGAGGAAATACATTCATCCAGCTTATAGAACTGTTACTTACATATTTGATAATAATCTTGGTGAGTATAAAATTATAATACAGAGACAATACATCAAAGTACTTTAAGTAAAATTAAAGTCGAACACCTAGCCAAACTGCTTTCCAAGAACCAAGTTTATCATACTTAATGGCAGGGGCTCAATGTAGTAATAAATGGAAAAAGCAGCAGGTAGTTAATAATATTCTATAATGTTAATGTCTTAAGATTGATAACTATGCTATAATTTTGACAGATGTTAACATTAAGGGAAGCTACAGAAAATTATACAGGTTCTCTGTGCACTACTTTTTACAAGTTAAAGTATTTTAAAGTAAATAGGAAAAAAAGTACTTAGCACCTTCTCACTATGAAATTCATTTACTGTATTTATCGATAATGGTTTGTCTCCTTTTGGTAGAACAAGACAGTATTTTTTATTTAAGTAGGCTCCATGCTGGGCTTCCAATGTGGGCCTTGAACTCACAACTATGAGATTAGGACCTGCGCTGAGATCAAAAGTCATATGCTCAACTGACTGAGCGAAACAGGTGCCCCAAGATGTACTATTCTTAATGAAAAGTCAACATTTGGGCATAAACTATAGCTCTGCCACTTCTGAGTGACCTTGAGTAAATCATTTAACTGCTCCAACTCATGGTTTTCCTCCCTGAAAAATGGAGACGAAAATCCCTATTTCATATTGCCATTATGAGAATTCAATTTAATCCAACAAATATTTGTATTTATGGAGTGCTTAACATGTTCCAAACACAGTTTTGGGTATCGGGCATCTATCAGTGCACAAAACAGGCACAACTGCTTGCCCCTTGTAGAGCTTGCAATCTCGTGAAGAGAGAATGGAGCTAATATATTAAAAAACATAATAAATAAATAGGTAGTATGACAGACACAGCAAGGATGGGGGCGGTATTGGGAAAGTCAGAGAGTAGTTACAGTTTTGGCAGGGGGTCATCAGGACAGGCTACCTTGGGAATCATGACATTTGAATAAAGACTTGAGAGAGAAGAGGTAATAAACATTCTACACAGAGATAAGAGTCGCAACAAAATCCCTCAGGTGAGAATATGTATGGCATATTTAACAACTGGCTATGAAGCAATATAGCTTAAGCAGACAGTCTGAATCCAGTAGTAGCAGGTGGGGCCAGGTTTTAAAGGTAATAGAAGGGACGCCTGGGTGGCTCTGCAGTTGAGCGTCTGCCTTCAGCTCAAGTCATGATCCTGGGGTCCTGGGATCCGGTCCCGCATCGGGCTCCATGGATGGAGCCTGCTTCTCCCTTTGCCTGTGTCTCTGCCTCTCTCTCTCTGTGTGTCTCTCATGAATAAATAAAATATTAAAAATAAATAAATAAAGGTAATAGAAATCTCACTGTATGGGCCTGCAGGCTATTAAGGACTAATTGAGAGGACATTTATAAACCACAAAACAATACCTGGCCTATATAGCAGATGCTAAATAAATGGCAGATAGCTAGTATTATTAGAGTCTATCATATTTTATTGTATCTAAGATGCCACTGTCTGCAAAAGGCACTGTTATTTTATGTGCCATTAAGAAAAACTCCTGCCAATTATGACATACTACTGATTATAGATGCACCTTGATTTCAGAGTGTCTAACTGGATTATGAGCATTGAAAAGAATTTTTTTTTTTTAAGATTTTATTTATTCATGACAGACAGAGAGGGAGAGAGAGGCAGAGACACAGGCAGAGGGAGAAGCAAGCTCCATGCAGGGAGCCCGACGCAGGACTCGATCCAGGGTCTCCAGGATCCGGCCCCGGGGTAAAGGCCGCACTAAATCGCTGAGCCACCGGGGTTGCTCAGAAATGTGTTTTAAAAGAAACACTTGGGGCAGCCCCGGTGGCGCAGCGGTTTAGTGCCGCCTGCAGCCAAGGGTATGATCCTGGAGACCCAGGATCGAGTCCCACATCGGGCTCCCCACATGGAGCCTGCTTCTCCCTCTGCCTGTCTGTGTCTCTGCCTCTCTCTCTATGAAAAAATAAATAAATATTTTTTAAAAAATAAATAAAAAACTTGAAATAACAAGATACTAAAAGAATGTAATATTTTTAATTTGTTGAATTTTCTAAGAAATGATTAATCAGAAAAGTCCTTATTTTCTTACTTTAATCTATAGGACACGATGTATAGAATTTCATCTTCTTTCTCACTTGTAAAATGTGGATAATAACTATCTACAGAGCTACAGTAAGAATTAGTACTAATAGATCTTGAATACTTACTATCATACCTAACATAAAGCAAACTCTCATTGAATGGAAATTATTGTAAGTATAGGGTTTTGGCCTGATCCAGTAAAATGATTATAAACAAGAAATATTAATTTTATAACACATGAACATAAAAAAACGGTATAGAATTTATTATTGATACTCTGGAAATTGGTTTTCTATATATATGTCCCTAAATAGACCTTATGTTCTTTTTTTTTTTTTTTTAAAGATTTTATTTATTTATTCATGAGAGACACACAGAGAGAGAGGCAGAGACACAGGCAGAGGGAGAAGCAGGCTCCATGCAGGGAGCCTGACATGGGACTTGATCCCGGGTCTCCACCCCGGGCTGCAGGCGGCGCCAAACCGTTACGCCACCGGGGCTGCTCTAGACCTTATGTTCTTATTTGTAATATTATCCTAAAAGTCAAGTGAAGTTAAAAACCTGCATTTGGTCCTAGCTGGTTGATATCTAGCCAAAGCTTAGATTATATTTCTTTTCATATCACCTAATGAATAAATGCTTATATATGCTTATTTTAAAATGCTCCTTATCCACCAAGTCACTTATATATGTTGACCAGTGCACTGAAGACAAAGAAATACATAACTATAATGGGATTTATGGTTTTGCATAAGGATTTATAACATTATATAGAGAAAATCTTTTGCAGAATACAATCATGATATCAGGGACACTGAATATTTTTGATGTTTCAAGTATCACTAGACACATTTGTACCCCTTAATAAACAAAGTTCCATAATTATTAAATATACCAAATTAGTACAATCTTGAAAGCTTACCTGGGCTCCCACTAACTGGAGGAGTGCAAAGTTGACAGGAAGGACATCAATGTCTGTGTTGATGGCAGTCTGGTCAAAAGGACAAGCTTTTCGGTGAAGTTTATTCAAGCAGGTCTTGCAAACAGTGTGTGAACAACCTAAACTGATGGGTTTGTGCACATTCTCATCAAATTCATTATAGCAGATTGGACAGGACAGAAATTCTGTCCATTGAGCTGCCTGCACAGGCATTGTAGAAGCTGGATGCTCGGGTTAGCAGTCTAGCAGATCATTATTTTGCTGTGTAGTGTTTTGTAAGCTGGAAATGGACAAAAGTAAGAATTAACCACATATTCATCATTCACCTTTTAAGAGTTAACTGCTTAAGTCAACCATCACAGTTTCAAAATCTAAAACACCCTGAATAATTTCATATTCTTTGGATGTCCTTTTAAATCTATTTGCTGAATTTGTTAAATTTCTAAAATTTTCTCCAGAAACAACATCTGCATAGTGTCCTTTTTTAAAAAAATATTTTATTTTATTTATTTATTCACGAGCGACAGAGAGAGAGACAGAGGGAGAGAGGCAGAGACACAGGCCTAGGGAGAAGCAGGCTCCATGCAGGGAGCCTGATGTGGGATTTGATCCCCCGTCTCCAGGATCACGCCCTGGGCTGAAGGTGGCGCTAAACCGCTGCGCCACCTGGGCTGCCCCACAGTGTCCTTTTCAACTAAACATATTTATATTGGTTGGTCAAATAATAGTCAGCTACCAAAGCTTTTATATATTTTTCTTGATGACCACATCAAATATATAGATTAACTTTCCATGTTTCATTTTTAGGAATAGAAATTACTTTGGATTCTGAGTTTTTGGATAGCTACCACCCTTAAACACATTAAGAAATGGCCTAAGAGTTATTGGACTTTGAAAACTATTAATCCAAAGAATATCATAGTGAGTAAAGCATGAAGAAACAGCCACTTGAATGACCAAGTTAGTCAAGGATATGTTCAGCTTGGCAGCTTCACAAAAGAGGAAATCTCTGGTGAAGATCTGACTAAATGGCTAACAAAGGTACTGAAAACCAAAGTATGTGAGATGATGGTAGAGCAGTTTGTCCAAAAATGGAAAAAAAAAATGCTAACCTTAAAATACAGAAATACAGTGCTAAAATTAAAAAAAAATTATCTTACAAATCACGTATATCTTAGTGAGATAGATATATAGATACACAACCCAAAACTGTCAGGTCCAATGAGCAAGATATAGAAGAATAAAGCAGTATTCTCATCTAATAATTCTAAGTAGGAAAAAAAGCAAAATATAAATTTTTATCTTTATATATGATTAAAAGGCATATGAGAAAAATGACAGAATTCTTTTTCCTAGGATTAAAATGTTCATTCTATGATTTTTAATAAAATAAAATTTTAGTGCCAAAACTGTACTGTACTCTAATTTAAAATCTTGATACCTAACTTTAACACTCTACATTTCACAAATTTTTCATATCTTCCAATTCAAAGCTTACATAAGTCTGACAAAGGCTCTCTGGTGAACAGAAATCTAGGTATTTAGGGCAATTAAACAGCCAATACTTTATTTCATAAGAATGTTTGCCAACCCAGATATCTTAATTCTACAGAAATAAGATGTTTAAAACTATAGTCAGATTAAGACAGAAAAGTATATAACTGATTCTCCAATATCTCTACATCCAAATGAAGAATTATGTTAGCCTTTATTTTGCTTTTATGTTCACAAAAACTAAGGTTTCAAAAATGTCTTGGTAAATGAATCACAGGGCTTGTTATATAAAAAACACCCTGTACAAATTTCTCCTCAGCTATAATGTAAAGTATCTAATATCTTTTTTTAAGTATTTAATATCTTTATTTTTAAACTAGCCAAAACTTGCAAATTATACTTATTTTATACCTTTTATCTGTACATTGCCACATCTATTAATGCCATCAATCTTAAACCTGGTTAGTCTGCTTTCAACTTTAGAGATAAACACTAAACAGGTGATCATTTCTTGAAACTATTTCACATTTAAAAATTTTCAGTTTTCTAGGCTGTAGAATAATACAAAGAAAAGGCCTTTGAGGAAGAAGGCAGCATTTTATCTTAAATCTACTGAGAGTCCTAATTTAGTTAATAACCGGAACCAAAAAAGTATTTATCAAAACAAGGCACTGCATCTATTTTTTCATAATGGCCACCTGTTTGAAAATGCTAATTTTGTGGGTTAGGGTATCACAGCCACCGGGTAATAGGAAACTAGTTGCAAATACTCTTTCCTTATTTCTTTTTTTTTTTTTAATTTTTATTTATTTATGATAGTCACAGAGAGAGAGGCAGAGACACAGGCAGAGGGAGAAGCAGGCTCCATGCACCGGGAGCCCGACGTGGGATTCGATCCTGGGTCTCCAGGATTGCGCCTGGGCCACAGGCAGGCGCCAAACCGCTGCGCCACCCAGGGATCCCTCTTTCCTTATTTCTTTTTCCAAGATCACCCTCAAATGCTTTGCATTCGTAAATGAGTTGGGGGTGGGGGAAGCTGTTTAAGTTTGAACTAAACATAAAAATGCTATCTTCCCTATTTTCCTTCACCTGTTTTCTTTTTTCCTTCTTCTAAAGATTTTATTTAGGTATTTATGAGAGACACAGAGAGGCAGAGACATATGCAGAGGGAGAAGCAGGCTCCCCGCGGGGAGCCCAATGTAGGACTCGATCCCAGGACCCCGGGATCATGACCCAAGCCAAAGGTAGACGCTCAACCACTAAGCCACCCAGGTGCCCCTCATCTGTTAGTTTTCAAGTATTTCAAACTACTCCAGAATATACTTGACAGTTTTTTTTTTAATATTTTATTTATTTATTCATAGAGACAGAGAGGCAGAGACGTAGGTAGAGGGAGAAGCAGGCATCATCATACAGAGAGCCTGACGTGGGACTCGATCCAGGGTCTCCAGGATCACGCCCTGGGCTGCAGGCGGCGCTAAACCGCTGCGCCACCGGGGCTGCCCTATACTTGACAGTTTTATGTTATAATATCCCACATGTGTTTTTAGGTTTGCAAACACCAGATACTGTAATATAATTAATATCGAGAAGTTTGATTTCTAATAGAAACTGAATCAATACCTTTTAAAAAAAGAAAAATTCTGCCAAAATTCGTAATTCTGCCAAATTCTCCTGTTATGTGTCAGAGTCTAATTTTCTGACAAGAAAAGTATATACTAAATTTTCCTTATTTAATAAGACATAAGGAAAAATTTGATTTTTTAAATGTTTTTTTTCAGTACCATTATCAATAAATTATAGATTCCTCAGTTAAGACAAAATAAAATTTTATCTAAGACACAGAAGCAGCTTACATAGTCCACCGAAATGTTTAGTTCGTGATGGCAAAAGTGACTTTCATTTCTTCCTTTTTTAAAAATTTCTTCCTTTTAAAAAAAAACAAATACAAAAACTTTCATTTCTTTAAAAAGGGCATTTTGTAAATATGTACGCAGGAAGTATTTTTATAACCAAAAATGATAAATAACCTATTATCTTTATAATTTAACAAGCATCTAAATGAGCCATCACAAGCTAAGAATATATACTGATGTGTAAAACTTCTAGATTTACACTAATAATTCCATAATGACTTAACTTGACGCTATGGAAGCCTAAATTGCTAATAACACTTATAGTTAATAGTCAAGTATCCAACCTGAAGATACTCCCAAAAACATCTCAAACTGAGATAAAGTGGATTAAAAAGCCAAAACTTGGGGCACCTGGGTGGCTCAGTGGTTAAGCATCTGCCTTTGGCTCAGGTCGTGATCCCGGGATCCTGGGAATCTGTCCCGCATCAGGCTCCTCCTCACAGGGAGCCTGCTTCTTTCTCTGTGTCTCTCATGGATAAATAAAATCTTAAAATAAATAAATAAATGAAAATAAAAAGCCAAAACTCAAACAAAAAGCCCACAACTCTAAGTACATAAAAGACTATTTAAGAAATACATTCCAATTAAATTACTTGTATTACCTAAGTAACTTTCAGTTACTAGTTAGTAAAATTGAAGGAGGATAACAAGATAAAGCAAAGAAGAAACACTACATTAGATGTGGGACTTTAAATACTTTTTTCCTCAAGTAATTTTTCAAGCTCCAACACATTCCCTTGTTATGAATACTAACTTGTAAAATAGGAAGAGTAATTAATAGACATCTCTCATATGATGCAAATTACACACTGTTTTATTAAGAGCAAACTGTACACCAGCTAAGCAGTTTCATTTTTTGTTATTAGTCCACCATGACATCACACAGCCAGTTCTGGACTACATCACCTGATTTTAAAGTGCCAGAATAAAGTCTATGCTCCTTTCACTATAATGAAAGTGTATAATGTATAATTTTAACAAAATCGAGTATCTTACAACTCTCTTCAGAAAAATGTAAACATTAAGGCTCAAGTCTATTAAGGCATTGTTTTCATTTTAGTTCATCCATGTGAAGAATTTAAGCTACTGAAATGAAAAGTACTGAAAAGTACTTCTCAATTCAGAAACCTTACAAATAATTAGCTTTGGACTTCAAAAATTACACTTAAAACATCAGTAAAATTGAGACCTTAACCTATAAAACAAGCAAACAAAACCAATGGAAATAATCTGCAAACTCTAAAACTCAGCATTCAAACATACTAAAGGGATTGAAGGAAAAAAAATTGAAGTACAATTTTAAAGACTATTACAAGTGACTTTCGTATAAGTTAGGAAAGATATAGGACTTAAAGTTTTTTTCTTAAATCCACTCTGAGGCTGAACTCCGTTTTTAAATCAGTGTAAGATTTAACTTCCTGTGTCTTCTAGTATAACACTAATGGGATAATTTTCTATTTTAATTAGCATATCCAATAAAATTTTGCTTTAGTTATGACAAGACACGAACAATACTTATTGTTGAGACAGAACTTAGATTACTCACTTCTGCCTATCAAATAATGGCCACTGGATAATCAAAGTCTTTAGCCTTTTGATTATTCAGATTGCAAGATGATACACTGTCAGGAAATTTTTGGCTTTCACGTGTGTACTTTTATTCAGTGCTGTTTTAAACAGTGCTGTCTAATAGAAACACAATGTAAACCACAAGTAATTTAAAGTTTTCTAGTAGTAATATTAAAAAAGGAAAAAACAGATGAAATTAATTTTACCATAATTTAACCTAATTTACCCAAAATATCACTTCAACACGTTATCAATATAAAAAAAATTATTATGATGGCTTAAATTCTTTTTTTTTTTTGTACTACAGCTCTGAAACCTGGTGTGTATTTTATTTTACATTTATACCACATCTCAATTCACACTAGCCACATTTCAAGTGCTCAATTGCCACATATGGCGATTGGCTTGTATTGAACAGTGCAACTCCAAAGTACTTAACATTACAAAGTAATAGCCAAAACTAATTTTTTTTTTTTTAAGAATTTGAGGTGAGGGATCCCTGGGTGGCGCAGCGGTTTGGCGCCTGCCTTTGGCCCAGGGCGTGATCCTGGAGACCCGGGATCGAATCTCACATCGGGCTCCCGGTGCATGGAGCCTGCTTCTCCCTCTGCCTGTGTCTCTGCCTCTCTCTCTCTCTCTCTCTCTCTGTGACTATCATAAATAAATAAAAATTGAAAAAAAAAAAAGGAAGAGGTTAGATAATCTTTCCATCTCAGTGGTCAGGAAAAACAATTTAAAAAAAAAAATTTGAGGTGAAAGTCACAAATACAGTTAAGAACTTTTCATAAAATTAGAAAACTTGAAAAACATAAAGATGTAACTCAAAACTTACTAGACTGGATGCAAAACATTACTTTTAATTTTCAGCTAGCTTTATTTTACCACATGCTTCCTTTTTCCATAACTAGAAAGTGAAACTTCAATGCAGTCCAACCAAAACAATAAGTGCTTATCATAATAAGGCCTTGTTTATTTAGCATTCTAAGGTACTGCATACAACACTGAAGTTCTTTTTCTGAACACAAACTTTTGTGTTAAAGAATACATTCCCCCCAAAAAGAATTTTTGTTAGCTTTTTCAGACTGGAAGATATAGAAAATTACAAAAGCAGAAAGTGAATTAATGGTAACGTATGAACAAAGGATGTAAGTCATACATCAGGTCAATACAACAGTAATAACAGATCAGGAGTAACTCAACGGATCCACTAATGAACATGACTGAAATGAAATCTTCAAAGAATAGGAGGCAATTTGAATTTTAACATCTGCTTTTCCTGAACATGTTTGGAATATATGCTTAACATTTTGTCCTTCTAGCAATTTTCCAAACTCTAAAATTTGGAAAACGTGAATCTCCAAATTAACAAAAATAGCAACATTAAAAATTTGACAGGATTTAATGGCTTCTATTCCTTCAAAAATTAAATGTGGAAGTCAACACAAGAAAGGGATGTTATACCAGTGGTGTAGCATCTTAGATAACTAAAAGGTAATAATGACACAATCCATGAACTTGTCTTAATGTCTGAAGAAGTCTTAACTAAATTTGTGTATTTGACTAAAAAGACTGCACAGGCTAACTAAAACATTTGTTTCTTTGCTTCTGGATGAAATTCTATCAGACTAGTGAGTAATGTGTGCATTCTCAGGTTAATCAAAAGTTCCTATTGGAACTTACTATTTGACTAATACAAAAATGGAAAAAGGATTACTCAAGCACTTTATTTGGAGTAAAAAGTCATTTTAATCACAGCAGTTTGGGCCAAAGTAGGAATTAAAAAGAAGGGGCCCTGGTAAGGAGAGAGCAGGAATTAAAAGGAAGGTCCTAGGTGGTCATTTAAAAATAAAACAGGCTGGGAAAAACGAGATTAGATCTACTTTATGTCAGTGATTACTTGTGACTATTTTGGTGTCAAGGTTCTATCTACCGGCGTCTTAAACTCCTCTGTGATTAGAGTGGAAATGACAGCTACTCTCACGTTCTCCCTTCCTGAAAGCTAAGGGCAGAGAAAAGTAGAGCTGCTTCTAAGAAACAAAGATGCTTTCTACCATTCTTCTAAGATGGTGGAAGAGTCTCCTTAAGAGGCTTCCCCGAGAAGGAAGAATGAAAGGGGGAAAGAAGAAAGCCACAGCAGAATTCCCTGGCCGCGTTTCGTGCCACTGCTCCGTCACATTCACTGTGCAACCACTCTGGTCCGGCCATCGCCGTCCCAGGAGGTTAAGCCCTCCCAGGGCATTGTTTGGCCGCGCTCCCTATTTACCACTCAGATCGCCTCCACCATCCCTGCGCAGAGATCTCGAGAAGCCCCAGGACAGAAAGCCGAACAGCTCAGAGGGGGCTTGGTTTCGAGATCTCCTCCAAAACCCCTCTTGCCAAACTGGTGTAGAAAAGGGAGAGAGAGCGCTGGCCTCTGCTTGGGTGGGTTCTTAGGGGTCAGAGGCTTCCCCTCGGCGGGTGTCGAAGGGAGGTGGCCATTTGCGCCGGGCGCTCGGTATTGAGAAAGCCCTACCCGGGAGAGGGGCCTCGGCAGGCCCCGGACTAGGGGCTCGTCCGAGTGTCAGGTGCGGCCCTCAGTTCCCAACCCTCGGGTCACCGGCAACAGCACACAGGCCCCAGGCTGAGACCGGTCTCCCGCCCGACCGCCAGGGACTTAGGGACCCGAGCTAGGGCCCGAGCCGCATCGTGCCCGCCCCCGCCCTACCTGTGGGGGCCCGGGCGGGGTCGCTAAGGGCCGCTCCCGGGAGCCCCGCGACGGCGCGGCTCGGCGACGGAGGCGCCTCGTCTCGCCGGGGCAGAGCTCGGCGGCGGTTTCACGACCTCAAACTCCATCGGGAGCTATAGGGACAGCCCCGTTGGCGGCGGCGGAGGCCGCGACGGGGCCTCCTCCTCCTCCCTCCGCCTCCGCCTCCTCCTCCTCCTCCTCCTCCTCCTCCTCTCCACGGAGGCGGTCCTGGAGGGAGCCCGACCTAGCTCTCGCGAGAAGATATTCCTCGTTTCACGCGAGATCACGCAGGACTGGGCGTTAGGGAGGTGGGAAGAAAGAGTAGTAGCCCCCGCCACCTAGACTGCGCATCAGCTTCCCTCTGGTCGAGCCTAACCACCCCCGTCACGTGACTGGGGAGCCCCGGAGCACTGTGGGAGGTGCTGTTAGGAGGCTAAGCAAGCCGAAAGGGCTGATGGGAAACTCCCTGCACCTTCATCAGCGCCTTGAGCCAGCCTCCTAGACACTGGTGAGGGTGTCTGAATCCCCTCGAGAAAAAGTGGTCTCCATTGAGCATAATCTGATACATCTGTATTATATCCTATGCACTCTCCCGTAATCAAATACTGACCCGTTCCCTCAATCCCTTCACGTACTTGCCAAGCAATTTCTCTATTAAAAAAAAAAAAAAAGCATTTGCTCGTCAGGCACTAGCACATAACCCATATTGAAAACTGAACTCGGGCAGCCCCGATGACCCAGAGGTTTGGCGCCGCCTTCGGCCCGGGGTATGATCCGGGAGACCCGGTATCGAGTCCAGCGTCGGGCTCCCTGCGTGGAGCCTGCTTCTCCCTCTGCCTCTCTCCCCCTGTGCCTGTCATGAATAAATAAGTGAGTAAAATCTTTAAAAGAAAAATTGAACTCCTCAGAAGCTGGCAGGGATCAAAATTCAATTAGTATCAATAAATATTTGTTGAAGGATTTTTCACAGCAAACTGTAAGGCAGAAATTATGTTTTTATATATGACGAAACAGCCTGGTAATAGAAATAAGGGAATCAGCACTTATGAACTACTTACCATGTGCTAGGGCCTCTGTTAGGTGACAAAAATTTCATTTTTTCCATTTATTTTAGTTTTATATTTCACTCATCAAAATAATCCTAAAAGGCCAATACTACTTACTCTGTTACTGAGAAACTGAAAAACACAGATTAAGAGAATAGCCATGAGTTGTAATTAAACTCAAGGCACTTTCCAATGTGACACCAGATGTCCAACAAAGTCCTGTATGAAAGTAAATCAACTATGCATTAAAAGACATATGAACAAGTAGTTTATAAGCTGTAATGACCTATATATATACATATATGAATATGTGTGTATGTTTCATTGCACTGGGAAGTGTGTATGACAGTCTACTAAGACTTTTCAAAGGTGGCCTGACCATGACGGTTAAAATTATAATCCCAATTTCCATTCCCTGACATTCTCTATGCCTGCTTTATTTTCTCCAACTTTGTTTTCAAAATCCGATATACACTAATTTTACTTTACTGTTCCCCCCCCCCAATAGAATACAAGTTTCATGACAGCAGGGATTGCTGTCTGCATATCTAATTTCCAGTACTACTGTACATATACTGTATATATATTAGAAAGACTCAGTATATATTTGTTGAATGAATGAATAGCCAGAAGAAATAGTTTCCTTCTTTAAAATTCACGGATGTAGACAAAACACAAAAGTTCTCCATTCTCATCTCCAGTTTATTTTTTCTTATGTAAACATATAGAACATTACATCCATGGAAAAACAGCAAGGATTTTTTTATACCAAAGCAACAACTACCTTTCCAAGATTCTTTATACATAAATGCAGTAAACGAAGAGGCTGAACTCAAACATGTTGCATTTCCCCCCATCATATCAGAAACACAAACAACTAAAAGTGAATGTTTTAAATGAATAAATTCAACACTTCACTTTGCCATACCTGCATTTTTAAAAAGATTCCATTTTCCTGGAACTGTTTATACACATCATGCAAACAGACACTGTCCTAGTCCTAGGAATGTTCTGAGATCACTCTGTGCTACTGGGCAGGAATAAATAAGAATAAATAACAACCATCACTTTCACAAAAAAACCGTTCCCCCCAAGCAAATATCTCAAAGTGCTTACAAAAAAATGTCACAAGAATCTTACAAGGCACACATAAAACTTAAACATAGTTCAACCATAATTTCTTTTAAACATCAAGGATAGTAGATACCAATTCCTAAAAAACCAGTTTATTACTATTCTTTTACCCTTCCCTCCCATCTCCATCCCTCCTCCACAAAATTTCATCCTAGGAAGCAGAAATAAGAAACGTACTTCAATCAAAAACTATTTCTGAAAGGGAAATGTTTTTATACCTACCAGTGGCCAATGAGAGGTCAAATGGGGAAAAAAATTAAACACTGCAGTATCATCTTCTCCAGTGGAAGAAAAACACTATTTACTTTAGAAAAATTCTGTCTCCAAAGTAGTACTCAAAGAGCAACATTCATAAAGACACAAAACTCTCCTTTCTTGCTTTCCCCTCTTCTCTGTTCTTAGAAACTCAGGAAGATTTAAGTATAAAATCATTGAATTTTTGGACCTAGAAATTATCTTACAAATTACCAAGTTCAAAGTTATTGTTTTACATATAAATTTAAGAAAAATTGATAGAGAGGTAACCTATCCAATGTCATTAACAAGTGACATGGGGTGGAGGAGGGAATTAGGAAGTTGGTTTTCTTATCAAAGACAAGAGATGAATTCTTTAGTCTCTCCCAGAGTTAAAATTTTATGGAGAATATATTTTTCACAAAAGTATCACAAAAAGCATATTTGACATTTATAACTATCAACATGTGACCAATCACAAAATTTTTACAAATGGTACAAAGTATATTACAGTCTAAAACGTGGAAGGGCTTTAGAACCTAAATATAGCACAACGCTGAAGTGAGTAGAGAAGGAATAGAACATCTTGAAAGTAAGATGCATCCAGTCAGGCTTCTTTAACTAAAAGTAGTTCCTGCATTTTGGAGAATATGATTTGCCCTGCAATAGATTCTAATCTTTACTTTGACAACAAGTTTTGTGTTATTTGTACATAGGGATAGTAGAGAGCAATGGCTCATCTCACAATCAGAAATAGCACTTTCACTAAAATAACCATACAGTCGTAGTTTTGCTTTTGGCACATTTCTGGAAATAGACTAAAACTCTAGGGATGGTTATGATTTTTGTCAACATGTGGTAAATGAAAACTGCATTAAGGTAAATGAAAAAAGTTATTAACAATCGAAAACACTAATAACTCACCATATTTAAACTGTTCATCTAGTGACAGCAAGATAACATATATTGTCAATTCAAATAAAAAAGGGAATGACTATTGATACACACAACATGGATGAATCCAGTGGCATTTTGTGTGGTGAAAATGTTCTCACAAGGGAACAAACTACAAAATGAATATTGTGTCATTCCAGAAAAGGCAAAATTATAGCCATAGCAACTGTTGCCAGGATTTAAAGAAAGGTGGAGGAGTGGACTACAAAGCAGCATCATAAGGGGGTTTTTAGGGATGATGGAATGTTCTATATCCTGATTGCAATGGTGGTTGAACAAATCTACAAGTGTTAAAATTCATGGAAATGTAGACCAAAAACAAAGGTCAGTTCTACTATATGTTAACTAAAAAATAAAATACATTTGAAAAAGGAAACAGTAGAGTATCTTTGGTAAAGTTGGAATTTCTAAGAGAAATTTTTCAGAGCTTCATGTCAATGGCATAATTTCACTGGTCATAAAATTATTAAATACAACTTCATTAAATAAAATCAAGAAACTTGGGCCTGATTAATCATTTCTAAACTATGCATACTAACAAATCATGGAAACATTATTTTAAGGAATATTAGCCCACATACAAATTCTACTACTCCCAAGTGAACTTGAGGTGTGTTCCCTTACAGTTTAAAACAAGTACCTTCGTGCTTAGATTTAGAATCCAACTGCAATTTGTCTTTAAAAAAGAAAAAATTCACTAGTCCTACAAAGAACTAATAATGGATTACGGCATGTTCTTAAGTCTATTTTTGCTGTTATCCTAATTCCTTAAGACTATTATATGGTTATGATTTTACATGTACATAATTTATCTAGAGAGTCAAAATCAGAATCTAGAAATATTGTGGGATCCTCTGTCACTAGAACCAAGAATATTTAAGAGAGGAACATTATTTCTCTAGATGTACCACTGAGACTTACACATACTGTATGAGATAAGGCAGCATCCCATTAGCTTTATCATGTCTCCCACACATTGGAACTGATAGTAGAAGTTCAGAAAGAGTAACATGTGTAGGCCGACCAAAATGAAGACCAAAAGATGGGGTGTGTGTGTGTGGGGGGGGGGAGATGCAATATAACAGATGCTGCATTTCTGTAGTAAAACTTGCCTAACAGAATTATATAAGGCTTACATTGCAAGGTGTGGTTCTAATTACAGTAGATTTTGCCTTTTGAGATCATGCCTGGGTAGCTTTTCACTACTGCTTCTGCCATGGACAGAGGTTAAGTGCTTTTTGAGGGCTGATTTGTGCTTGAAATCCATGTCACAACAATGGCATTTGTATGGGCGATCTCCACTGTGTATGTTCAAGTGGTCCTGAAGCGTGCTCTTAGCAGTAAATGTTTTCAAGCACACGGTACACTGAAAGGGCCGTATGCCCATGTGCCCTCGAATATGCCGGTTGAGATTTTTCTTCTGTGTAAATGTTTTCCCACACTGTAAGCACAGGAAAAGCTTATGCATCTTGAGGTGGCGCAGATAGTTTTCAACATGAAGAAATCCTCGAGGACACCTGGGACACTGGTGCCTCAGTGAATAAGCATCATCCAGATTCTGCATCTCATTCACTGTCCCATGACTTCCTTCAGTATTCTCACCAAATAAGCTCTGATCTTGATTTCCAGGAACTTCCGCCACTCTGCTCTCAACAGTAGAATTGATCAGGGAGTGCTGTGTTTCAGAGAAATACATGCTTGCTTTTGAAGAGGTACAAGGCTGTGAAAACTGCCCATTTTCTACACCAGCGGTACTGATAGACTCCACATGGAGGATACAAATTTCATTATCTTTAAAACCAATATCTACTGAAGACAGCTCTGGTGACTTCATCTCCTTTCTCTCTGATGTCAACTCTACCGTAGACTGCAAGACATTGCTTTCTTCTTCTTTTACGTGAAAATCGATATTTATAGGACTATCTTCTGAAATTTCAATGATCTCACAGTCTTTATCCGAACTTTCTTCTTCATTCTTAACATCTGGATCAGAGGATTGACACAGGTCGGTATGCTGATTGTTATTTTTCATAGAAAGATCAATTTCCAGATACTTCGACAAAGCTTCTGTGCACTTTTCCACAATGTGAACCATCTGCAGGTAACTAGCAGCAGTCAAATATTTCAAAAGCTCTTTCCTTTTAACTTCAAGTGCTCCTGTATAGCAAGAGAGCAACAGTTTTCTACCAACTTCTGCACTCTGCAAGATGGTGATTCTGACATGTTTTGACTGTGTGAGTAAAAACTGATCTCGCATGAAAGTGGAGCAAGCAGCTAAAATCACCTTGTGCCCCTGGAACTCGGTGTCATTAATATAAATTGACACATCACAAAATAAATTCTGCTGTCTCAAGAGATTCATTTTCTGCAAGACTACATCTCCTTGCTGTTCAAACTGGAAGTGCAGAACATCGGATTCAGCAGCCATGGTCACAATCTAAGCAAAATAAAACACAAATGTTGATGTAAAGGTAGAGAATGCTTTCCCACACTTTGATGGTAAAAACAAACAAAAAATCCCAAATCCAAATTGGGTAAAAGAAGGTTCTAATTCTAATCTAGGTGCAAAGAGTAAACTCCTATGCCACCATCTCAAAACCAAGAAAATTAAAACGCATTTCTCTATGATCTCATGGCACATTCTTCATATTTTTGTTATAGCACTTACTACACTGAGTTGTACTTGACAGTTTCTGTTTCTCTCCTTGTCTAAACTTGATCTGTTCTGTGGTCCAAGACACTGCTAATGACCACTACTAAGAGGACTTAACATAGTTTCCCACACCAGAAACTTTAACATAATCTCCAAACTTCCTATTCCCTGTCACTAACGCAGGTCCTTCTTCTTTTCCCTTGGACCACTGCAAGGTCTTCCAACAGGTCCCCCATATTCCAAACTACCCTCCTGAGTGCCACCAGAACTAACACATTTTAAAACTTTATTTTCTTAAAAAAAATTCTCTCTTCTACTTTCAATCCTCCTCTATGTCCAGGACAGCCTACCCTTCTTAGCAAATACAAGACCCCTCATTATTTGAGGTACTAACCATCTTTAAGGTTTTATCTTTCCTCTCTTCTCTTTTTTCATCTAAGCTCCTTAAATACTGATATTTTCACCATTGCCCAGACAAGATCAGAATACACTTTTGCACCTTACATTCCAACTTCCAGTTCCTCTTTTCCAGCTAGTGATTTGGCTCCTTTAAGACCCAAATCAATTAATACTGCTGGGACTCCTCCTGTCTCCCCAACAGAGTCCGTAGCTCCCAGAGCATCCTAAAAAGGTGCTTGGGTCATCTGAGTTCCTGCAGCGAGCCCAGGGGCCAGCACAGAGCAGGGGCAGCGGAGGGAACATCTGTTGAACTGATCCCGACCCCAGGTGGCCCGAAGACCCTGCAGTTCGCCACAGGCAGGTGCTCCCGAGCTAAGCCTGACAGGACCACATGGCTTCTTGGCCGGGGGGTTGCAGCACCAGTCTAGCCCTTCCCGTTCGCGCCTAGCTTCTCCTCTCCTCCTCCTCCTCCTCTTCCGGATTTCCCAACTGCGCGTCGCCCACCGCGCTCACTCACCGATTCAAAGAGCCAGAGCCCCGCTTTCCGCAGCAGCTGCGGCCCAGGCCGGAAGGTGGACTTAGCCTGGGAGGAAACACATCCGGTGTCAACCGGCTTCACGGCTCGCTAGGGCGGGCTGGGCGTCCCGGAAGGACATCCTGAGACGTTCTCCCTCACCCCCCCGCCCCCACCCCCGGACTGGCAGAGAGGCGCCCGAATTCCGGGAAATCCCGTCTCTCTCTACTGCCCCAGCTTCGGCCCGCGAGCTGTTCCCCTTGGTGAGTTCTCTCCAGCGTCCGAGTCGCAGGCGGGTTGTGAGGCTGGAGTACAGCGCGCCTGTCGGAATAAATACCCTGCGGCCTGCAGCGGGACCCCTGGGAGGCCCTCGGGTGTTCCGGACCGGGCTCTCGCCTCACCGGGCCATCTACAACTTAAAGTGGCAAAGGAGAGGAGACTGCCAGCTAATGGCCATCGGCCAGCGGGATCTGGCCCCTATCTCTGCATCTCACTTCACTCACATGTCGCGTCACCGTCCCTCAACCCCCTCTCCCCAGCTGCCAGTTCCGGGCAAACCCAGGCCTTCTATCTGAATAAACTCTTGGGGCTGCTTCTTCCCACATGCCCTATCCCTCTTCCCCCTTACCCTTCAAAATCTCGTTCATAAATCACATCATCCCTGAAGCCATCCTGAATTGCCCTTGAATTAGTTGGCTCACAGTTGGGAAACTGTAAGCCCTTTGGCTGCCTTCATTTTTTTTTTAAATTTTTATTTATTTATGATAGAGAGAGAGAGAGAGAGAGAGAGAGAGAGAGAGAGAGGGAGGGAGGGAGGGAGGGAGGCAGAGACACAGGCAGAGGGAGAAGCAGGCTCCATGCACCGGGAGCCCGACGCGGGACTCGATCCTCGGTCTCCAGGATCGCGCCCCGGGCCAAAGGCAGGCGCCAAACCGCTGCGCCACCCAGGGATCCCGGCTGCCTTCATTATTGCAATTATCATGCCTGTATTGAAATCTGTGGCCCATCCGGGCAGAGGTATTTAGGACAGTAATTTATGATCTTTCCACTCCTGAACTCTAGCAATGAGAAGGCATCAAGTATTTACTAAATGAAGGAATGTCTGAACCAGTTTTTAAAAGCAGTAGCTCTACCCCCTCAGTTAACAGGTTCTCCTGGAAGTAGTTGATCCTACTAACAATTTCAAGTTAACCAGATTTGTTACAGAAGCCAGGCTGAGCATGCTTAATATGTGTTTTAAACAACAGGAGTGAAGAAAGCATTCCTTATTCAGATTCAGACAATATAAATTAGAGAAGTAGGAGGGAGAGAGAAAAGAAACCACTGACACCAGAGATATAATTTTCACACTTTTATTAAGGAAACTTCCCCATAATAAGTGAAGAGGTAGTTCATAGTATGTCTAACATACAACAGATTTAGAACAGCTATTCGCCAGCTGAAATAAAATATTCTGGTTTGTTTAGGACAATATTTTAGAAGTGGTGACATTGGTCACCCTCCGTTTATAGATCTTCTAATAAAGTAAAACAAAACCACATCTGATTTACCTCAGAGCCACTTCAGTTAGGAGTTTGTCTTTAAAATTAAATAATAAATAAATAACGGTGACAAGGTAATTTAAAAAACAAACTATGAAAGAGAGTCCTTTTTAGTTATCCTGGGGATCCATAAAATATAAATGCAGAATGACTAAAGTTTTAAGAAATCTTCCTCCTTTATAAGAATATGACTAATTTTGAAAGTCATCTTCCCTTATAAAATGAATTTGATACCAGTTATTTTGACCACTTTGCAATACAATCTAAGAAACATATATAAACAAGGGGAAAAAAGTCAAGTCCCACCAAAATTAAGAAAATGTCTCACAGAAACAGAACACCTCTCCAGCCAAGAAATGGAGGAGACTGTAAATCACTTCAGTGGTTTGCAGTTGCAAATGGTGAGAACTAGAAGTTTACTGATGAAAAACCATCAAGATACTGATTTTAAGTGAAAGGAGGCAGGGCATTTTCTTTATTATTCCCAGTTTAAATCACCTTATCTAAGACCACATAAGACTGTATAAAACCATATGAAACCATAAGCTCTGTGAGGGCAGGAACTGCAGGAATCTTACCTTCATATCCTCAGTATCTAGCATAATGCCTGGTAATGAAGGTGCCCAATGTTTCTCAACTGATTGAATGAACCCAGAGATAGTCTCCAACCAAAGAGACCAATCTTATTTGAACCCATGCCTTACAGTCTTGAAACAAGTAACAAAAACAGGACATGAATGTAAGCAAAGGAAGCACTCCAACTTGAAATTTCCCTTTGATGAAATGATGTTCAGAGAAACATTGGTTAATATACTAACATCTGTTGCATAGATTGGTACTCTTTGGCTGGATCATATAAAAATCAGAATGCTAGGTAGCATCATTAGAACATAAAAATGAGTGACTTTAGGCATAAGATACCTATTAGTCTTATCACTCAATTTTATTCTCATTTAAGTGTTTTAACAAAAGGTAGAAATTATACCCCAAATCAGGTTCACATGTAAATGCATCAAATTATAACAACTTTAAGAATTCCCTGTGACTACTCAAGTTAAACTTCAGTTTTGGTTTACCTGTACATGCATTCTTGTAGCTCAAAAATAAAAACAGAAAATCCTGATGGAAAATAAACACTGCTTCCAGACAACATCAGTTTCACATTTGGATCCTTCTCACATTATTCTTACTTGTCCTTTCCCTCCCTGACCAGTCACTTCCTTGAGAAGAATGGTATATTCATTCCAACCAAAAAATAATTAATAAAAATACCTCCTTCCTGCAATGTTTTGTTTGCAAAATCTGGGCTGTTTCAAAAAGCCAACAGTGTTCCCAAAAGTGAAGCACAAACTGGGAGCTTTTTGCTAATATACTCTTGATCATGTACTAAATCTTTTTAAGCCAAGAGATAGTGAGAAATAAGGAGACATTAGCTCATTCTTAGTCACTTCTCTACTATGGCCAACTTTGGCCAGGCCACCTCTTTGAGCTTTGGATACCCCAATACCCCAACTTAAAAAAAAAAAAAGAGGTCAAGTATATGATCTCTTAAGATTCTCTAAGGACTCTAGGACTATTACCTAAATCTAACTCATGAGTTAAAAGCTACTAAGACTCAAAATTTTATTTCTGAACTATAATATGTGCTTTAGGAAAAACAAGTGTGTTTTCCCATATTGGAAGATTAATTTTGTATTCGTGATCTATTAAACATGGCAAGATGGGACTGTGTACCTTTACAGGAATATCTGAATGCAAAAACTTCATTGCTCTGCTATGATCTACTTTTTTCATCCATTTTAGAAACTAGTGTAGTAGTTGTAAGAGATGGGAATTCAGAGATTATATTGCACCAGACAAAACTCTGAAGGCCAAATTCACCTTTCTGATGGCTAACCTCTTAAACAAAGTCCAGAGATGGACTCCTAAATAGCCCCTTTTTAGAGAGACCATTATACTTTGGCACATTTTAACTGTGCCTGGAGCAATCTTGACTTCAAATACATCCACAAATAAGTTACACATTAATTATAAGCATTTGGCTTCTTTTTGGGAAGACTTGCTACGTAAGTGCTATTGAACAATTGTACTTCTGTTCTTTGTTAATTAGGCTCCTCATGCTGATCCCTATTTGTCTGTAGGTGTTGCTGAAAAGACTGTACTCTTGTCTCTGTGAACAACTCAGTGACATGAAGTTGGGCCATAATACTGTTGAAGACAGTCCATAACAACCCCAAATACTTCATAGCCAGCTTCAAGACAAGTACAAATGGTAGGAGGCAGATTCATTATCAGTAGGCAATCAACAATAGGCAACTGGAAGCTCTATCACATATACAGGCCAAGAGCACTGTCACCTTATATCTCAGCCTATTTTTTGCCAAAAAAAAAAAAAAAAACAAACAAACAAAAAACAAACAAAAAACAAACCACCAAAAAACCAAAATAAAAAAAGCCCCCACTATTCGCTTCTCTTAAAATAGCGTCTATCAGTGGACTGTAGGTGATGTTATTAACTTACTGGTACCTTCAGAATGTGCCCAGTGAAAAGCCTAAAATAGTGTTAGTCTAAGACAAAAGTCAATGTTAGGTAGACAAATGGAATACTCCTTGGAAAAGGAAAACAGACATCACAGGATAAATAATTCAAAACACAGAATGAGAGAGGGCAAAAGGAAGGCAAAACCACTCCAAGTGGTAAGTTGCCTGGTCTATTAGTGCTTTGACTCACCCCTATGACTCACACAGAGGCTTTGGAGAAATCACACTAGCAAAATCGCTCCTAAAAAGACTTGAGAGTATTGCCACGTTTTCAATCCATTCTAAGTTGTGAGCATAAAGCCCCTACTCAATTCACACAAGTACTATCATTTCTTAAGTTCAAGACCGCTTGGGCCAGTTTACCTGCATCCAGGACCTGTGTTGCATCAGGCTGTGGCTGACACCCTTTAGAGTCTGTGACTGTTGTACATGCAAAAGAATCAAAATCCACTGTGAGGTCTTGCACATTTCTTTCATTGGCATTATCAAAGCTGTTTTTGCCATGCAGCTGTTTAAGATGTTTCCTCAAAACTGGCTTATGTGCAAAAACCATGTCACAATAGTTACACTTATGGGGCTTATCTCCACTGTGAAGGTTAAGATGATCCTGTAAGGAACACTTCTGAGAAAAGGTTTTCCCACAGATCTTACACTGGAAAGGTTTAATGCCGGCATGTACACGCATGTGTCGATGAAGGTTGCCTTTCTGAGTAAAAGTCTTGCCGCAGAGTAGACACATAAAGAGTTTGTGCATTTTTAAATGGTTGGCGTAGTTCTCCAGGTGACGAAACACCCTGGTACACTTTGGGCACTGGTGATGCCACTGTAGGCCTTTGTCTACACCTCGAATATTAGGCCCAAAGACATCTTTTGAGGCCATGATGATATTATCACTGCCTGCGTAAGAGAGGGCATAATTGTGGAGATGGTTTTGTTCTATTTCACTTACTCTGTTTTCCACAGTTGAATTTATCAGGGAATGCTGGGGCTCTGATGAATGTAAAGCAGTGGGTTCAGAAGAAATAAACTGATTCTGATCTTTTTTACTTCTAACCTCGGATACATCCCCAATAGACTCTACCTTAACAATCTGAATATCACTGTCCTCCATATCCATACTGTCTTCAGATGGATGAATACAAGGTGAATCCTGCTTTGGGGAGCCTCTGGCATCTCCCTGCTGTTCTTTTGACTGGGGAGAAGCACTCTGCGGTTCACATCCCTCTTTACTATCCATTGGTTGTTTTGGCTTTATAAACTTCCACAAGGCCTGCGTGCACCGTTCTACAATGTGGCTCATCTGAAGAAAACTTGCAGCAGTCAAGTAATTGACCAGTTCCATCTCAGGGAATTCCAGCACACCACTATAACAGGATAAGAGCAATTGTCTCCCCACTTCGGAACTCTGCAATATGGAGATTTTCACCTCTCTGGAATCATTCAGTAAAAACTGGTCTCTTAGGAAGGGGGAACCTGCAGCAAACACAATTTTATGCCCTTGTACCTCAATATCATCTATGAGTACTGTAACATCACAAAATTTATTCTCTTCTCTTAATTTGTTCATTTTTTGTAACATTGAATCTCCATAATTTTCAAACTTGAAGTGAAGGAGATCTGATCTTTCAGACATTTTGGCAGACCTAAAGAACAGAAATGTAAAAAGGATGAATTTAAGAAAATTCAAACAATTAAGAAACCTGGATTTTTCCTTGCAAAAACAAATTTGTGTTGTCCTATCTCTTTGTTTATAGCCAAATGAACTTTTCCTTGAAAGAGGAAGCTAGTGTAACAGCTTTCAAAGGCTGTTAAAAATTATTCCTTACCAACATCAAGTGTCAACTGCACCTAAAGAGTGGACTTGTATCAGCGCCAATAGTTTGGCATCCATTCAACTTTCTAAGATACTTAATACAGGAATAGTACTTGAGTTACTCCAAGAGCATTTTTTTTTTTGGCTTCTCAAATGAGAATTCTATCAGGTCTCAAAAACAAACTAAAAACATCCCAACAAGTAATAATAAAGTAACTATTTTCTTTTGCATGATAGGCGAACCTGCTTCTTCAAAGACAAAATGTTCTCCTTTGCTTTCTACCTTAAAGAACTCCATTGACTGTGCTTGCCCCATTCCTGAGTAAACCCCCTTCTATTTAAACTGATGTGCATTTATTCATACAAGCATTTCTGCAATCAACCAAAAGTCACAGACTAAAAGGGACAACTTTAAGACAGTGTTAAAGGCATGGGTCTTTATCCTATGCATTTTGGACAAACCTAAACTCTCAAGTAACATTTCTTGGTATAGAAAGTAAATAAAATATTTGATATAGGAAAACCAGAGGAGCCACTTGATGGGAATCTGAGTAGGAATAAAGTCAATCAAATTAATACCTTATAGATTCTGTTCTTTCTTCTTTATTCCTCTTTATCTATCCATCACTACTCATCAACTGCACTACTAGAACAGAATCATAAATGTTTCTTGGGTTCCAGCTTCTATTCCTTCTAATCCAACTTCTACACCACATGTCAAATTTAAACCAAATAATAATAATTAAGGTAAACACTGGCATAACCCATTCAACCATGGAGAAAGTGTTTGACAAACTCTTTGCCTATCTGTTCCTTTATATAGAATTCCTTTGGAGAAAGTCCCTATGTTCTGTTTTTTTTTTTTTTTAAGATTTTATTTATTTATTCATGAGACACACACAGAGAGAGAGAGAGAGAGAGAGAGAGAGAGAGAGAGAGAGGCAGAGACGCCGGCAGAGGGAGAAGCAGGCTCCATGCAGGGAGCCTGATGTGGGACTTGATCTCTGGTCTCCAGGATCACACCCTGGGCTGAAGGCGGCGCTAAACCACTGAGCCACCCATGCTGCTCCCTATATTCTGATTCTATACTATCTAAATGATTTTCTGAAAATTCAGATTCCCATGTTTCTCTCTAAAGAGGATGAATTAAGTATGACAACATGATAATTCCAGTCCACCAGTCATTGTAAAAATAATAAATTGACACTTAGTTTATATACCAGTTTTCTGTAAGATCAGTAGGTATAACAGCTTCTACTCTTGAAAAACAGTTCTAGGGATCCCTGGGTGGCGCAGCGGTTTAGCGCTGGTCTTTGGCCCAGGGCGCAATCCTGGAGACCCGGGATCGAATCCCACGTCAGGCTCCCGGTGCATGGAGCCTGCTTCTCCCTCTGCCTGTGTCTCTGCCTCTCTCTCTCTCTCTGTGACTGTCATAAAAAAAAAAAAAATTAAAAAAAAAGAAAAACAGCTCTATATTCTCAATGCATCAATAAATTCACCTTGAATTTTGTGAATTCATCAACTCCAGAGTTGAGAATCACATGAGACAATCAGGGATAATTGGCCACATATAGAGCCTGAAGCCCGATGTTTATAATCTTATCTTCAATAACAGTGACTTACCAAAGGCTCATAGAACACTAGCTCTTGAAACAGAGTCCAGGTCTTACTCATACTACATAGTAGCTGGTGCATGATAGTACTCTACTGACTCCAGGCCTTAGCATAATTCTTTTTTTTTTTTTTAAGATTTTATTTATTTATCTGAGAGAGAGAGTGAGAGATCACAGAGGGAGAGGGAGAAGCAGATTTTCTGTGGAGCAGAGAGTCTGATGTGGGCTCAATCCCAGGACCCTGAGATTATGACTAGAGCCAAAAGGCATACCTCAATAAACTGAGCCACCCAGGCACCCCAGCACAGTTATGTCTTTAGTCTAGAACACTACTCCTGGCTAATTCTGACTTTTTCCCTTCCTTCCTCCCTGCCTTCCTTTCTAAGTAATTTCTACACCCAACATGGGGCTCAAATTCATGACCCCAAGAGCAAGAGTGGGATCCTTTACCAACTGAGCCAGCCAGGTACCCCATCATTTCTTTATTTCCTGAGACACCTCTTAGACTAGAACCGTTGTCTCTACTGGACCCATAGTATAGCACTTCTATCATAACACTCAAAATATTTTATAAAGTACTTTGTTCCTTCCCCTCCAAACTGCAAGCTTCATGGCACTACAGGGAAACATCTCCATCCCACTCAATGAGGCTAATGCTGAGAACCTGCATCTTCTACGGCAAAACTCTTTCGTTTTGCTTCAAATTCTACTTACTGCAGCCACATTACTGGCCAGACCCTCTTCTACTCAAACTGGTGTGTATTCCCATCACCCAGTATTGTACTACACACATGGCAGGTACTCAAATTTGACAGTGGAAGGAAGGAAGAACTGTGGTTAGGAAGATCAGCTCAGAGCCTGTAAAAGCATTACAGGTCTGAGGCCATGAGAGCCTAGAAAGGAACGAAAATGGGAATAAGGAGAAAGGAAAAGGGACGCCTGGGTGGCTCAGCAGTGGAGCGCGTCTGCCTTTTTGGCTCAGGGCGTGATCCTGGAGTATGGGGATCAAGTCCCACATCCAGCTCCCTGCATAGAGCCTGCTTCTCCCTATGTCTATGTCTCTGCCTCTCTCTGTGTCTTTCATGAATAAATAAATAAAATCTTTAGGAAAAAAAAAAGAGTAAAGAAAACTAATAAAAGATATTTTGAAGAACTTGGTAACTGACTAGATACAGAGAATGAAAACAAAACAAAACAAAAGGAATGTGTAAAGGTTCCAAACTTAAGAATTCAGCTTGAATGAAATGGTCATTGGAAGAGAGATGAAATGTAGGAGGGAGAACTGGCATGGCACAGGTTTATTAACAAAAATAGATCTACATAAATTATAAGCTTTTCTTTTGTATGGCATTCTGAATGTACAGGTAATGAATAATCATAATAAAGATGAAAAAGGAAGGATGTAGAGAAGCAAATGCAGCATCAGAGAAAAGATGGTGAATATCAAATTAAAAGGAAAAAAATCTAGGAGTTATAAGGAACATATTAGTAAAGAAAGTAGCAAAATTGTATTATCACTGGTTAGTTTTAGCAATTACAGTAGCCTCATATATTAGTTCTGGAAACAGTGAATGCCCCAATTTTTAATTTTATGTATTTATGATAGTCACAGAGAGAGAGAGAGAGAGAGAGAGGCAGAGACACAGGCAGAGGGAGAAGCAGGCTCCATGCACCGGGAGCCCGACATGGGATTCGATCCTGGGTCTCCAGGATCGCGTCCTGGGCCACAGGCAGGTGCCAAACCACTGCACCACCCAGGAATCCCGAATGCCCCAATTTTTAACCAGAAGTTATAAAAATGACTGTTGTTTCAAGTGCCCAAACAAAAGGGACATTCTTTTTTAGACTTTAGCTTGTCCTCAGTCTATCCTGAGGTTAGTATTTTCCTATGCACACCCAAAAAAGATCGTTAATTCCCTCCATCTATAAGATGATAATACTCAGAGTGCTTTAGACATTATCCTCAGGGATAATTGTTCCTTGAAACTCCAAGTAGAGGAGCTGGGATACTTCCTATCAGTCTCAAGAAACCTAACAGTGGGAGCAACCCAACAGGTAAGGTACCCCAGGAAAGTGCTTAGTTTGATTTCTTTGATATAGTCCAGGAATGTGAGGAAGGAAAATTTGTTCTATTTACTTTAAAAAGTTTTGCCTGTCATGTGTCAGTGTACTCTATTGGGTGCCTTTGATAAACTCATATTTCTGGGCTACATAAGTTTATTCCTTCAATCAATTCCTCTCACTAGTTTCTCTTTTCAATGCAATGTTAGTTATTTGAGGACAAGGACCAACTGTTGCTTTATACACAGCGCATTCAACAAAACCCAGCAGAATAATTAACTCTTTAACATTCCCTAAGAAATTATTATTATGCTACAGTAAAGAGGCCCTTCATTATCATCATACCCGCTTTTTAAAAAAAATTGTACTTATTTATTTGACAGAGAGAGAGACGGCGAGCATAGGCAGAGGAGAGGGAGAAGTAGGCTCTCTGCTGAGCAGAGAGCCCAACTCAGGGCCCAATCCCATGACCCCGGATCATGATGACCAGAGCCAAAGGCAGACACTTAAGTAACCGAGCCACCCAGGTACCCCAATCATATCCTCTTTTGAGTGTCCTGGGGAAAATTCCTTTCTAGGGTTTGTTACTAAAATAGTTTTAACAATGCAAAACCAAATTTTAAGCAATTTTTTTACTTTTAAAAAGTGTTAAAATTAAAAGGAATAATTGTATTTCTTATAAACTGGTTTAACAAGAGAAAGGATAGCTAGCTCATCTTTACTGAAGCCTTATGTCCAAGGTATAGTGCTAAGTGCTTTACCTAAATTGACCCACCTAATCCTCAAAATCCCTAAGAGGTAGGTATTATCATCATTCCCATTTTGTATATGGGGAAACTTAATCTTGGGAGGATAAAGGAGCTTGGTCAACTTATGAGAGGTAGAAAATATTAAGTGTTAGAGCTGGAACTTGGGCCCAAGCTTTGTGATGCCAAAGTTCACGTACTAAACAAGAGTAGCTGAAGTTTTATCTTATGAGTGATGTTAACTGTGTAACTTGTCAGACTTCCCTCCTCATATCCATTCAGCTGTACATTTAATGATGTCATACTTTTGTGTATTCAGTTGTGCTTCAATACAAAGTTTATGTTTAAAAACAAAGAGTAGGATGTAAAGCCAAATTTGTGTCAAGTCTACAGGACTTTAATAGTAAGCTATTTATGTACTAGTTGTATTTTTTTTAAAGATTTATTTATTGGGATCCCTGGGTGGCGCAGCGGTTTGGCGCCTGCCTTTGGCCCAGGGCGCGATCCTGGAGACCCGGGATCGAGTCCCACATCGGGCTTCCGGTGCATGGAGCCTGCTTCTCCCTCTGCCTGTGTCTCTGCCTCTCTCTCTCTCTCTGTGACTATCATAAATAAATAAAAATTTAAAAAAAAGATTTATTTATTTATTTTTATTTATGATAGACACACACACACAGAGAGAGAGAGGCAGAGACACAGGAGGAGGGAGAAGCAGGCTCCATGCCGGGAGCCCGACGTGGGACTCAATCCTGGGACTCAATCCTGGGACTCCAGGATCACGCCCTGGGCCAAAGGCAGGCGCCAAACCGCTAAGCCACCCAGGGATCCCCTGTACTAGTTGTATTCTTGATTGCATTTTATTCCTTTATCTTTGTTTTACACTCATGTCTCACCCATTTTTAACTTCATCTTTTGTATTTATATTTGTATACTAAATCTGAATGCCATTTGCAAATAACAGTAGTTAACTTCTAAGTACAGTAGTAGTTATAAGTTTCATAAAAATCACTCACATACTTCTAGACTATAGTAGAACTTCGAGTAGTTCAAAGAAAGTAAAGAACTTATCAGGTAGAATAGAGACTTGGTCACCACATTCTGTTGATTCTTTCCTCAGAATGACTTCTAAATTCTTTCTTTATTCTATCATTGCCATGGTTTAGGCCCTTATCCTCTATCACCTAGGTGACTGCAATTAAATTTGCATACCACTGAGTTTTTATTAGCAAGCCTTTTTTTTTTTTTTAAGATTTTATTTATTAATTTGAGAGAAAGAGTGAGTGAGCCAGAGAGAAAGAATGCGCAGGGGAAGGGGAAGAGGGAGAAGTAGACTCACCACTGAGCAGGAAGCCCGATGTGGGATTCCATCCCAGGACCATGTCCTGAGCCAAAAGCAGACATTTCACCAACTAAGTCACCCAGGCACCTCTTTTTTTTTTTTTTTTTTTTTTACCCAGGCACCTCTATTAGCAAGATTTGAATGACCTATTTCTCAAACATCAATGTAATAGGAATACTCTCACTTAAAATCACTTTCTCTTTGCTATATTTATGCAGTTCTTCCATAATTCTCTCCATAACAAATGTGCCAACTGATCTGAAAATTTCCCCTTGTTCAAACAGGAGTAACCAAAAAGGATCAGTGGATATTCTAAGTTGGACAATGTTTACTGCTGTGCTACAGTGAGAAAATACCCAAATTTCTTATTTCAAATACCTCTAATTACATATAAGTAAAATTTTTCTATTCCATATAATAAACTCCCAAGCTATATGTCTATTTTCACATCTACCTCATAAACGTACCCTTATCTTTCAGCTTAGCACTCATAACTACCTAGAAATCTTTGTTTCTAATTAACACTGTATTCCATTTTTTAAAAAGGTTGCATTACATTACAATCTTTCTCCCTATCAACCTCAATCTTTTTCTTCATTTGGGTAACTTTCATGACACTACATTCTCCAACTTAACAATCTTTTGTTTTGTTTTTACTTTTCACTATAAGAAACATATATAGAAATATATCCTTCCTGGAAAGTTTTTGAACATTATAGATACTATAAAAGTCCCCTTTCCCAACCATTTTCCACTTACTACTGAGTTTAAATTTGCTCCTTTTTTACTCTCCTTTCCCCCACTTGAAAAATAATACTTCTATATGCCCAGGCCCAGAAAATATGACTATGTTTCTTACACATAAATTAAACATATCATGTGGCAACTTTCTTTTTTCATTCATTAGTTTTGACAGCTCTATGTGTTGACTATAGATCTAGTTCATTCTTTTTTTATTTTTATCTTTTTAAATAATTTTTATTATTGATTCATGAGAGACACAGAGGCATAGGCAGAGGGAGAAGCAGGCTCCCCACAGGGATCCCAATGTTGGGACTCGATCCCCGGACCCTTGGATCACACCCTGAACCAAAGGCAGGTAGGTGCTCAATCACTGAGCCACACAGGTATCCCTCTAGTTCACTCTTTTTAAACTGTTGTACAGAAATGGGCAAGTTGCTTAACTACTGGCCTCCACTGTCCACCACTCTTTTGCTTATTTCCTCTTCAAGGGTCCAATAAACTGTGTAAAGGTAAGTATATCCTTCAAAGCTTAGTCTTCTGATTTCTTGCTGTTTTTTTTTTTTCAAGACTCAATAAGTTAGGGAATATTACAGGGGATGATCATGGGTCTGGTCTTATGATGTCTGGCCAGAGCATCTTACATGATGGAAAGGGAAAGATTCATTAGCTAGCTGGATATGGGACTGAAGGTGAAGAGGAGAGAAGATGTGATTATAGATAGTAAGTGAAAAATGAAACATGGCATAAATTGACCTATTTGTGAAAGAAACTGACTTAAAATGATACTGAGTCAAGAGGATCTAAGACAGGAAGAGAGAAATAAAAAAACAAATATGTAATAAAAAAATAAATCCATTACTTACCTTCTCATTTAGGATCTCCTTCCAAGCCTCTCCATTTTTTATCAATGAACCTATCTTTGCTTAAAATTTTCCCACTCCTTTCACTCCATATTCAGTCACTGCTTAGTGCAGTGTATAAAACTGTGGATTCTGGAGCCGTATTTCCAAGGATGAAAACCCTCACTAGCTGTGTGATCCTGGGCTAGTTACTTAACTACTGTGCTTCATTGTTCCCATCTGTCAAATAGTAATATTATTTCTTAGGGTTGTTATGGGAAATTAAAAATTAAGTTAATGTCTTAAAGAAGTTAGAACAGTGTCCTGGAATGAGTTTGATAAGCATTTGTTAGGTGAGTAAACAAATAAAGCCTGTCAATTTTCTTTGTGAAATACTTCACCAGTGGCCTTTTCTCATTTTCATTTAATACCAAACCACTTGAGGTCTCCATTATTTCATAAATCATCACCTCATCACTCTACTAAAATTGCTTTTTAAAAAGGTCTCTAATTATCTCTTTTTTAAAAAAAGTAATCTCTATGCCCAACACGGAGCTCAAACTTATGACCCCAAGATCAAGAGCTGCCTGCTCTACTGACTGAGCCTAGCTAGGTGCCCCACTAATGATTTCTTACTTCAGAAATGCAATCTCCCCCCCCTCTCCCCAAATGCTCTACATGAATTGTCCCAGTGGACTTCCTCAAAATTCCCTTCTCTCGATTCTGAGTCTTCTTGGTTGCTGGAACTCTGTACTATTATACATTATCCCCTATCTCTTTTTTTGCTATCCCACCAATTCCTCTCTCTGCTTCATAAATGTAACCATTCCCCCCAAATATTCCCATCTTTCTTAATACTTCCTTCCTGATGCCATATATTACAGTACTTCTATGCCAATGACTCAAACTTTTACCTCTAGCTACAACACTGGGGCTGAGCTGCAGATCTGCATTTCCAACTCTATACTGGACAGTTTTATGTGGCCACTCCATTATAGCTTTAATTCATCATATACAAAAACTAAATTTGTAACCTGCAAGTTTATGGTTTTATTGCATCAACATTTTCCAAATGCCAAAGGCCTAAAACCTAGGAATCAGCTTTGTTACCTCTTTCTCCCTCAACATTCAGTTTATTCTGGAGTTTTCACACCATTCACTCCAGCATACTTTCCTTCTTTCCAGTAACGCTGTCATTTCTCCATTTCAGGACTTCATTAACTTTCACTAGGCTAATTCCATTACTTCTTCATAAGAATTCCCAATAAGAGTACCCAGGCATTAGTTGAAGAGTCCATAACCAGCTTATAGACATTTGTTTTCTACAGGCTGACTCAGAGAACAACAAGGCTTTCTACAGTGCAAATCTGATTGTATGAGTCTCCGGTTTAAAACTACCCATCTCCTTTAGGGGGTTAAATCTCTCACTATCTGGATCTCAGCCCACTTTCCCAGCCTCTTATCTCATCCCATGCACAAGAGCCCCCGTATTTCCTCCTCTTCACACACAAGTTACGCTGTCAATCGTTCACAGCCTTGCAAACTGTTCCGTCTGTCTGAAAAACTCTTCTCCACTTTATCCTCTCCAAGAAGTGTAATTCAGACAATCACTTTCTTCCTTCAGCCTTCCTAGCAACGGCCCGTTAGGTAGTTCACACATAGAGGACTGACGTATATATCGCAGGAGCATTATTTGGTTATATCTGGCTCCCAAACTTGACCCTGGAAAATTGGAAAGGTATCTTTCGAAGAAGCCCCAGTGCCTGGCATAGCGCCAGTAACAGAAAAGGTGCTATTTGGGGAAAACCCCGCCAAAAGGGTAACCTAGGTCAGCACGCACAGTGAGTCTAGCAGGCTGGCACTAAGGCCTTCCCAGGGCCTCAGCTCTAGCACTTCCTACAGCATGCTAGAGTCCGGCGTCCAAACCAACTGCTGGGCCCTGGGCTGGGGTCCCAGGAGAAGGTAGGTCCCTGGGGTATAGTTAGGATCCCCACATCAGACGCGGGGAAGGGAAAGGGGCGGGGCCCAGCGTCGGCCGGGCCGCGGGTTCCTTAAATACCCCGGGGCCCAGGCCAGCTCCTCGCCCCCATCCCAGAGCAGGTCCCAGCCAATCCAGGGCCCCAAGGGGGCTCCCTCTTGAGAGACCCCGTACCCATGCCCGGCGCTCCGGCCGCCTCCGCACTTACAGACCCGAGGGAAGGCCACCGTCAGGATCCGGCACCGCCAGGAGCTCCGGCCCCTCGGGGCTCCGGGAAGGGGGAGGGGCAGGGAACCCGAGCCAAAGGGGGACCCAACGGAACCGGAAGGGCAGCCCTCGCCAGACAAAACAACTTCCGGGTCCCTTGGTCCTCTCCACCAATCAGAAGGCTCGGAGGGCAACGGGGCCCGGGAAGGGACTTTGCGCGCGGAGCACAGGGTGCGGCGTAACGGAGAGTCTTGCTGTGCGCGTCTCGCTGGCGACCCGGAGGTTTGGGGGCTCTTTCGTGTCCCGGGTTCAGGCCCTGCGCTCTTCACCCCTTCTCAGCGGCTCCTCTGAAGCTGAGCCTCCGCCTCCTGTGGCCCTCCTGGGTTTGAAGGGCGCCGCCGCACTTCATCCTTGGTAAGCCCCTCCCGCCTTGGGGAGGTGGACTCGCCGCGCTGGGACCCTGCAAGCACAAGGCGGTTTACTCGCCTCACTTTTGGGTGTTGGTGTTTCCCAGAGATCCGTGTGATTCCCGTGGCTTCCGTTACTAGGGTGCGCTGACCGTTCACAAATCACTCTCGCCAGCCGAGACTGGTTTCGAGCTCCAGGGCCAGCGGCAGGAAAAACCTCTCTAATTGTCCGAATCTCAGTGTACCATTATCTCAAGTTCATATGCAGACCTGCTTCCTACGGCCTGTAGTCCGTGTGTTGGTAAACGGCATCATCCACGCAGTCCTGCTGACCAGAAACCTTTATTATCATTCTAGTCCTTTTCCTTCTCCTTGTCAATCCAGTTGCTTGCTGGGCTCTTTTTTTCTTGGCAGCGGCGGCGGCCGGGGGTGCGGGTGCGGGTGCGGGTTGTTATTATAGTAAAACATGGTATTTATCATTTTAATCTTTTCTAAGTGTAAAGTTCGGTAGCATTAAGTACATTCACAGTGTTGTCTAACAGTCACCACAGTTGTATCCAACTTCATTCTTTTGTACGTGGATATCGTTTTTCCAGCACCGGTTCGTGAAAAGACTGTCCTTTACCAAACTTTGAATGGTCTTGTCATCTTTGACCGTATATGAGACGGCTTATTTCTGGGCTCTCTATCCGATTACATTTGAGGAAGTATGAGTCCTCCAACTTGATGCTTTTTCTTTCTTTCTTTCTTTTTTTTTTAAAGATTTTATTTATTTATTCATGAGAGAGAGAGAGAGGCAGAGTCACAGGCAGAGGGAGAAGCAGGCTCCACGCAGGGAGCCCCACGTGGGACTCCATCCCTGATCCCCAGGATCACGCCCTGGACCCAAGGTGGTGCTAAACCGCTGAGCCACCCGGGCTGCCCCAACTTGATGCTTTTTCAAGATTCTTTTGGCCCTTTGAAACTCCATATAAATTTGAGGATGACCTTTTACATTTCTGAGAAATAGGTTGTAATTTTGATATTGTGTTGAATCTGTAGATCACTTTGGGTGGCATTGCTATTTTAACAAGTTTAAGTCTCCCTACCCGTGAATACACAGTGACTTTCCATATACTTAGGTGTTCATTAATTTCAGCAATGTTTTCAAGCTTTCAGGGTATTTAATTCTTTTTGATAATATTGTGAACAGAAGTTACTTTCTTCATTACCTTTTCATATTGTTCATTGATGGTATGTAGAAACAGCTGATTTTTCTGTGTTGGTATTATACTCAGTAACATCACTGCATTTGTTTTTTTGTTTGTTTTGTGTTTTTTTGTGTTTTTTTTTTTTTTTTTTTGCTTTAGTAGCTTTCTTTAGGGTTCTTTGAGGTTTTCCATATATAGTCATGTTGTCTGAATAGAGATAGTTTTACCTTTTCCTCTCCACAATTTGCCTTTTATTTCTCTTTCTTGTCTAATAGTTGTGGTTAGAACTTCCAGTTAAACGTTTAATAACAGCAGTAAAAGGAGGCATCTTTGACTTGATCCTGATCTTAGAGAGGTTGCTAAAGTATTCAGTATAGTGGGAGATGTGAGTTTTTCACAAATACCTTTATCATGTTGAGGAATTTCCCCACTAACTCGTTTTCTGAGAGATTTTATTATGAAAAGCATTATAGTCTGTCAAATGTCTTTTCTGCATCCATTGAGATAATCATGTGCTTTTTTCCTCTTTGTTTTATTAATGTCGTATATTACATTGATTGATTTTTATGTTGAACCACCTTGCATTCCTGCAATAAATCCCACTTGGACGTAGCGAATAATCCTTTTAATATGTTGTTGGATATGATTGTCTTACATGTTAAGGATTTTAGCATCGATATTCATAGGAGATATCTGTCTATAATGTACCTATGTATTTATCTGGCTTTGGTATCGGGATAATGAAGGCCTCATAGAATGAGTTAGGAAGTATTTTCTCTTTAATTTTTTTTTTTTTTGGAAGAATTTCAGGGGGATTGGTGTTATTCATGAAATGTTTGGTGCATTTCACTGGTGGTCATCTGGGAAAGGACTATTTGTGAAAGGTATTTTTTTATGTGTGAAGATTTTATTTATTTATTCGAGAGAGAGGCAGAGACACAGGCAGAGGGAGAAGCAGGCTCCCATTGTGGAGCCGGTTGTGGGACTCGATCCAAGGACTCCAGGATCATGCCCTGAGCCAAAGGCAGAAGCTCAACCACCGAGCCATCCAGGTTCCCCTTGTGAAAGGTTTTTGACTCATTTAATGTCTTTCCTTGTTATCTGTGTTGAGATTTTCTATTTCTTCTTGAATCAGTTTAGATAATTTGTGTTTCAAGGAACTTGTTTCTTTTCCAGATTGTATAATTTGTTGGTATACAGTTGTTCATAGCATTCTTTTATAATCTTTTTATCTCTAGAAAGTCAGAAATAATATCCTCACTTTTGTTTCTGATTTTAGTTGTTTGCATAAATATTTGTTGATTTTGTTCTTTTCAAGGAAACAGCTTTTGGTTTCATTGATTTTTCTTTTTTTCTGTTTTGTAGTTTATTTTCACTCTAATCTGTTTCCTTTCTCTCTGCTAGTTTTGAGTTTAATTTCTAGTTTTTCTTGTTTTGTGAGATATAAAGTTAGGGTATTATTTTGAGATCTTCTTAATGTAGCTGTTTTCAACTCTAAATTTCCCTCTGATCAGTGCCCCCATTGCATGCTATCAGTGTGGTCTTTTGTATCATTTTCATTCATTTCTAAATATATTCTAATTTCCCTTTTGATTTTTTCTTTGACCCTTTGGTAGTTTAAGTGCATGTTGTGTAATTTACACGTGTTTGTGAATTTTCCAGTTTTCCTTCTGTTACGATTTCTAACTTTATTCCATTGTGGTTGGAATAGATATTTTGCATGATACCTCTCTTTTAAAATTTATTGAGACTTGTTTTGTGGCCCAATTATATGGCCTGTCCTGGAGAATGTCCCATGTGAATGTAAAAAGAATGTGTATTCATTCTTCTGTTGTTGGATGTACTGTTCTATACCTATCTGTTAGGTTTAGTTGGTTTATCATAATGTTCAGGTCCTCTGTTTCCTAACGTATCTTCTATCTGGTTGTTCTATTCATTATTGAAAATGAAGTATTGAAGTTTGCCAACTTTTATTGTAGAACTGTTTATTCTTCCCTTTAATTCTGGTCATTTTTGCATCTGTATTTTGAAGGTCTCTTACCACATATGTTAAGGATTATAATTTTTATATAATCTTGCTTTATTGAACTTTTTATTAATAGTGTCCTTTTTTTGTCTCTTGTAACTTCTTGTTTGGATTTATGGTCTATTTTGTATGATGTTAGTATAACCACCCCAGCCCTCTTTTGGTTATTATTTGCATGGTGGAGTAAGTACTAGACCCAACATGGGGCTCAAACTAATGACCCTCAGATCAAAAGTTGCATGCTCTACTGACTAAAGCCAGCCAGAAGCCCCTGGAATATCTTTATAATAAAAATTCTTTCACTTTTAACCTATTTATTTCTTCTAAACCATAGATGGTTTTTTTTTTTTTTTTTTTAAGATTCTATCCATTTATTCATGAGAGACACAGAGAGAGAGAGAGAGAGTCAAAGACACAAGCAGAGGGAGAAGCAGGCCCCACGCAGGAAGCCCGATGTGGGACTTGATCCCAGGTCTCCAGGATCACACCCTGGGCTGAAGGCAGCTCTAAACCCCTGAGCCACCTGGGCTGCCCAATCTTTTTTTTTTTTTTTTTTTTTTAATTTTTATTTTTTATTTATGATAGTCACAGAGAGAGAGAGAGAGAGAGAGAGAGAGAGAGAGAGGCAGAGGGAGAAGCAGGCTCCATGCACTGGGAGCCCGATGTGGGTTTCGATCCTGAGTCTCCAGGACCGTGCCCTGGGCCAAAGGCAGGTGCCAAACCGCTGCGCCACCCAGAGATCCCGAATCTTTTTTATTTAATCCATGCTTATCTTTTTTTTTTTTTTTAATTTATGATAGGCACACAGCGAGAGAGAGAGGCAGAGACACAGGCAGAGGGAGAAGCAGGCTCCATGCACCGGGAGCCCAATGTGGGATTCGATCCCGGGTATCCAGGATCGCGCCCTGGGCCAAAGGCAGGCGCCAAACCGCTGCGCCACCCAGGGGTCCCCATGCTTATCTTTGATTGAAGAGTTTACACCATTAAATTTAAAGTGATTACTGCTAAGGATGGATTTCTTTCTGCCATTTTGCTATTTGTTTTGTTTTTTTTTTATTTTTTTAATGATAGTCACACAGAGAGAGAGGCAGAGACACAGGCAGAGGGAGAAGCAGGCTCCATGCACCGGGAGCCCGACGTGGGATTCGATCCCGGGTCTCCAGGATCGCGCCCTGGGCCAAAGGCAGGCGCCAAACCGCTGCGCCACCCAGGGATCCCTGCTATTTGTTTTCTATAGGGCTTTGTGCCTTTAATTTCTTTTATTACTACCCTGTTTTGTGTTTATTTGATTTTTTTGTAGTGAAA